CTTTTTATACATACATACTTTTTATACATACATACTTTTAATACATACATACTTTTTATACATACATACTTTTTTATACATACATACTTTTTATACATACATACTTTTTATACATACATACTTTTTATACATACATACTTTTTATACATACATACTTTTTATACATACATACTTTTTATACATACATACTTTTTATACATACATACTTTTTATACATACATACTTTTTATACATACATACTTTTTATACATACATACTTTTTATACATACATACTTTTTATACATACATACTTTTTATACATACATACTTTTTATACATACATACATACATACATACATGCATATATATATATATACACAATCATATACAACCATATACAACCGTATGCAATCACATGCAATCATATGCAACCATATGCAACCATATACAATCATATGCAATCATATACGATCATATCCAACCATATGCAATCATATACAATCATATGCAATCGTATACAATCATATACATTCAAACGTCCATCCATCCATCCATGCATGCATACATAGATAGGATAGATAGGATAGATAGGATAGACAGGATAGATAGGACAGATAGGACAGATAGGACAGATAGGATAGATAGGAAAGATGGGATAGATAGGATAGATAGGATAGATAAACAGATAGATAGATAGATAAATAGATAGATAGATAGATAGATCGGATAGATAGATAGATAGATAGATAGATAATAGATAGATCGATAGATCGGATAGATCGGATAGATAGATAGATAGATAGATAGATAGATAGATAGATCGGATAGCTAGATAGATAGATAGATAGATAGACAGACAGAGAGATAGATAGGTAGGTAGGTAGGTAGGTAGGTAGATAGGTAGATAGATAGATAGATAGATAGATAGATAGATGCATTTACATATTTATGAAAGATCTGTATGTTTACATCTAACCACATGGGTTCACATTATCCATCTATTCATCCATCCGTCCATCCATCCCTCCCCCCATTGATCCATCGATTCATGAATCTGTGTCTACCTATCTATCTATCTATCCATCCATCCATCCATCCATCGATTTATCTATTTATCTATGCCTGTAGATGGTAATGGCATTCCCAAAACAGCAAGAAAAGGGACAACCATTTTGCAGGACCACCTTACTTATAAGTTCCTTTGCAGACAAATCGCCTCCTTCGCTGAGGGTGGGGGCATGGGCGGCATGGATGAGGCACGGCTTTCTGAGCCAGGAGATATTGTTCTTTGAGATACACCCTGTGAGGTCTCATCTTAGAGGTCATATGCCACAGCAGTTGTGATGCTGCATTGACCAGTGATCATGCATTGCCAGATGATGAAGAAGATGCAGGAAATGCTGGACACTTACCATCCCATGGTTGGCTGGTGACAATTCCAAGCAGTCTACGTATGTAGAGATAAATAAATAAATATATAAATATATAAATGCATATATATATATATACGATATTCCCTCCGTTTTTGCCGGTCTCTGAGGATGGGAATGGGTTCCAAAAGTGGCAAGGCTGAAAAGGGTGCGAAGAAAAAAACCAAGGCAGGGAGGGATCCCATGTTGGACTTTTCAGTGCGCACAAAGACGTTTGATTAACATGCAGCGAACCACATGACTTAGCAGGACAACGCCAACGTTGTTTTTGTGGGTGGCCTGTTGCTCAGTTGTTTGCATTGGACTTGTTCTGCAATGCCTTCGTCAATGATTGGTTTGTTCTATGATGTTTTCGGCGAGCTGTATTTTTATCTCAAGATGAAAGGTGACAGCCACAGATTTACTTGGTAGACTTTGCAATGTCAAAAACACACATCCTTTGATTTGATGTGCAAATTGCTAAGGCTTAAGGAAAACTACTGAGGAGGACAGAGTAGCAGCCCACTTTGCAAAATTTGGTCAGGCGCAGCTGGGTTGAACAGGGTTAACTGATGTTAACTGATGTTAACTGATGTAAACTGGGTCAACGAACTTTCCCCACATCTTTTGCATTTCGGACGATCGCTGTCCATCCGCCAGGTTGAACAGGTGGATATCAAACGCCTTCCAGATGGAACTTCTAGAGGTTTTGCATTCATTAAGCAATGAACTTGGCTGACCTTGGGTTCAGATACTGTAAGTGTTTCCCTTGGTATTGTGCATTAATCATCATGTGGCCTGCCCTTTGGCACTTTAGGTTTGCTGACACTGATGCAGTTGACAAAGTCATCGAGGTGGACCTCGAGATGATACTGCCCTTGTGAGAAGAATGCGCCAACAAATAGAGTAATTCATAGTAATTCAAATCGCTGCATCTCTTCTCTGCTTGCCAAATTCTTGGTTAGTTGAATTAGTTGGCTGCTTAGCTGCTTAGCTGACCCCATGTCTCATTTGGGTCATGGCTCGCCAGGCTCATGCCAAGCACATGATCGACAACAAGTTCCCTGGCTGCCCTGGCTGCCCTGGCTCTTCTGAATTTTGTTTCGAATTTTGTTTCGGAGACGAAGAGATGTAAGCGGCCTGCTGTTTGGCCTTCGCCCAGGTGGGTCGAAGTCAAGAAGCACGACGGAATAGCAGCATCCGTACGCGACCTCGGGTGATAAGTCCACTTGATCAATGTTGATCAGCAGATATCAAGAGCCTCTTCATGACTTACAATTTACAACTGCATAATTCATCATAACTTATCTGGACTTGATTGATGGTGTGGTTTTGGAGGCTGGGATAACAGAGATGATGAACAAGAAGAAGGCAGAAGTGGCTTCAAAGTCTCTACAACGCTTTGAGAAAGAAACCAGGGAAAATCTATTGTGAGAATTGTGAAAGCTACTTGCTGCATGCAATCGGTGCCAAGGTTGGCTCAAGGTCTCACATGATTTGTGCTCAGCTGTGGGGTTTCAAAAACATCAGCCCTCTTTCCGTGTCATACCATGCTATACCACACTATCCATGCTATACGATGCTTCTGTAGCATTTTGCACTTCAATACCTGTGTTCCTTTGCCTTTTCACAGCACCTGGGTGCTTTTAGTGATGGCGACATGGGCGGCATAGCTGCAAGCGCCCGGGCCTGCCTGGCTATGGAACTAGAAGAGGCCGGGTTCTGCAAGAACTTCAGAGATGTGCATTGAAGCCCTGTCGGAGCATCATATGGATCTGTCAAGCTGTCAAGGTGCTTTGTCCGTGCCGCTTGAGGCACTAAGTTCACCCTGGGCTTTGCATCAGTGGCTGCAGGATCAGCTTTTGTATTGGCAGGTGCGGCCATTTGACCCATTTGACAAACCAGTCAGTTGTTTCGATGCGGCACAGCAGGCAGAGGAGTGCAGCTCCTCGTTAGAGAATGCCAGACTCATCGAGGACCTTAAATATAAAGCGTTTCTTCATTAATTTCTCAATCTTGTCCTGGCTGTCTTGGCTGTCTTGGCTGTCCTTGCATCATGTCTTTTCATGAGTATTTTGGCGCAGCAGACACACTAATCCTTCAGGAACATTTCGAGCTGTTGAAATCGAAGGGATCGCTTGCCCACCGCTTCCATGGTCATCCAAGGGCAGTAGATGAATCGAAGGCAAGGTTTGCATGTCACTCTTTGCTCATGCAACAACATTCCTCAATTCTTCAAAGTTTACGTGGCACCACTTTCAACCAACCGCGTGTTTACCGGGTTTTCTTCAAGATCTACAATGCAGGAGATCAAGAAAGAGAGGGCTATTCAGTTGGCTTCTTGTTAGCAGCATGCCGCACTTCGCACTTTGTTTCCTTTGCAATGGATAAATAAAACTGTGTTTTTGGTAGAATAGCAAGAGTTATCGAAACATGTGTCACAGCCTGTCACAGCCTGTCACAGCCGTTTTCACCTGAGGAAGTTGCTTGGTGCAATGAGCTGATCAGCAAGCTTATGAAGATGCACCATTTCAAGGTTTGCGGAGCTCTTAAACTCTTGCCATAGGCTGAAAGCACAAAGGCAAAGGAAGCGACCGATATTGGCCATGAGGGGCAACAAGTACTGATAGGATGATAGGATGTTATAGTTTTTCGCACGGTGACTTTCAAGTTCCACAGTGCTAAATTCTTATTCTTGGAGATATTTTCCTTTATGGCAGGCAAGGGTCAAAACCCAGGAGGAGCAGCTGGAAGGTGAGCTTGAAGATGCGAAAGGTGGCTTTTGACGATAGCCGTACTCTGTAGGCGATTTGGAAACCAATCGTTTTTTTTCCCCGGGCCTAGGCCCTAGAATTTTCTGATGTTCCAAGGAGCTTGATTTTTAGTGTTTCAGGTGCATGGAGAGAAGCCTCTGAGCAAGCAGTGGCCCTCCGTTGGGCTGCACTGGTGGCCGGAAGCTCGCAGAAGGCAAAGAAAGTTTGGGAGGCAGGTCTTTCGCATGGACATGGTCTTTCACTGTTTCCTCTCATTTTTGCGTATTTTGCCCGCTCCAATATGAGCCAATGGATCAGTGGCATTGGGGCGCACAAGTCGCACAGTCTAGTCGCAGTCTGATTCCTTGGTACTAGCTAGGAAGAGGCTGCAGCCTTTGTGGTTGCAAAAAGTCACGAGACGAGGGAGGTGCTCAGAGAAATGGAGGCTCCACAGTTCTGATCCCATTGTTTCCCTGCACCCACCCAGATGGTTCCCCCTCCTATATAAATGGGCAGTGTTTGTGCAGCTATGAGTGGTTGATGTCTAGTTTATGGGGAGCATACGCGGAGCATTTAGGGACTCGTATGTGTATACACATAGTCCCTCAAAACACAAACACACACAGACACAAACGCACACAAACACACACGCACGCACACACACTGCTTACACAAACACAATCTAACACACACACACAAACACACAAAAACACACAACACCACATAAAACCGCATAAGACCACATAAAAACACATAAATCATAATACAGGCTGTAACGTAGTGGTTCTGACTTGATTTGCAAGGGGCTGCACAGGCAGAGAACTGCGGCTTGGCTGGTGGCTTGGAGGAGGCTTGCTGGAGCATCGTGTTTGTTTGTCATTTAATCATTGCAACAGAGCCATAGCTTCTGCCACGTTTCGGGGGCCTTTTCCCGTGCATGCCGCAGGGTGCCAGAAAGCTAATCAACGCGCTCAGCCTGCCATGGGTTCAAGAGGTGCGTGATCAAGGAGACGAAGCAAGGGTCAGAAGAATGCTGAAGGAGGTTGACCTTTGGCTTTGCTACAACAGGATCGGATACAGTAAGCGAAGGTGTTGATGTTTGTTGACGTCGAACAGTTTTGCCATGCACAAAAAAATGATAGACTGCTCCTTTAAGGAAGCGAGATTGCAAAAGGAGAAGAACGCGGTTATCATTACCAAGGACTTGCTCTTTGAGAGTTTTCAGACTTACAATGTGTTTCTGAGCACAGCCTCACAACGCTCCCTCTCGTCTTGCTGTCTTCCTTGTCCGGATGCTTCGAAGGATTCCATTTGGGCATGCCAGCAGCAAGACGCAGCAACAAAAATCCAGTTGCTTCGGCAGCAGCATTTGAAGCTGCACTCTGAAAAATCAGAACTCGAAGATCACGTGCAGAGGCTTGGTTTTCACGTAGCTTGAGTGTAAATGGTAGTGGTTGTGTCTTCGAGCCATTGCATCGAAAAGCAAGATCAAGATTTGAAGCTGCCAGCCAATTATATATATATAATCTCTAGCATGTTTGGCCATCGTGCCTGGAAGGTTGAGGCAGAGCAGTGCCGCGGAGAGGGACAATTTTGAGCGGAAAGTCGCACGGGAAGAGAGAACTGCGGAGAGTGCCGAAGATCTTGCAGAAGCAGGACAACGACAACTGCAGGAGACATGCATGTGGCCAACGCGCGGGTAGAATTTCTCTTGTCAATTCTGCGCTCCAACTAGCAAGTTGAGTTATGTTGCACCATGACCCACTATGCAGCCTATGGAAGAATCGAGATGTTCGAACACCTTGAAATGCAGCCGATAACTGATACTGAAGCCCTTTCTATGAATGCCGTGAAGCCCGGCGGGATTTGATTTGATAGTATTTTCAAGGGTTTGAACTGGTTCAAGAAGCATCGTTGTCCTCCCTGGTTGAGTGGCTTTGCCATGTCCAGGAACAGCTGCAATTAGGGAGAGGAAGGCTTGCAGAACAGCGTGCCCACATAGTCCAAGCACTAACAGCACGGGCAGAAGAGGAGGAAGCACATGCGAAGCGGCACCAAAAGGTGGAAGAAGAGTTGAGAAGTGAAGTAAGGCCGGTGAGCCCTGCTTTCCCTGTATTTGTCTTATGTACGTGTGCTCAATGAAGGCCAGGTATCAACAGTACAAAAGCCAAGAGCATCTGCAGAATCAAGCATTAGCCATGCGATCGAGGAGTGCAGAGCAAGCCTCAAGTACTTCACAAAACCTTTTGACGAGGCCTCACCAACACTTGGTGTGCAGCATGTTGTGTAGCCTAGCAGCAAGGCTGATACTCGCAGCTCTTTGAACTAAGGCGAGATGAAATAAAGGATGAATGCCATGAACTGCAGCAACAGATGCGATTGCATATTTCAGAAATGACATTCTTTCAAGATAAGAGAGCTGAGATATTGAAAGAAACTGCTGCAGAAAAGCAGCGTGGAAGAGCTTGGGAAACGAAGCTACGTCAAGCTGCTTCTGAAGCACGAGAGCTGCGGAAAGCCTTAGATGAAGAGGAGTTGATATGCAAAGAGCGCATGGACGCCCTAGAGAAACGGCAGCGTGATTCAGAGGGGTCAGGTCTCCAAGCTGCCATTGCATCCATCGCATCCATCGCCAGGGCGTCAGTCTCAATGTCGCAATCGTCGCAATCAGTGCGTGAAAGTGCACTGAAGCTTGGACATCTTGGATCATCTGCCTGCTCTCGGCAAGAAAAGCTGAAGCAAGAGTTGCACACTGCGGAGGATTTGCGCTTTGAGATCTCCAGCCAAGTCTCAGAATCTTGCTTAGTTTGCAGTTTAGTATTATATAATCTTATATATATAATTATATAATTGAAATTAAATGCCATCAAGTCTTTGTTGAATGTTTCAGTACTGGGTTGGCGGTTGGCATGTATTGTTGGAGTTGTGATCAGGAAATGAGGGCAGAACTGGAGAGACTACATCGAGCAAGTGATGTCGAAGGAGGCTGGGGCTTGCAACTCACTAAATCATGATTCTTGGGAGCTCTCTTGGCTGTTAAATCTGGGATACATTGTTTAGTCATTTCTCTGTGCGGGGCTAGGAGTTTCAGACCTGATCGTTCCTTGTCTGAAAATTTGGTCTGCAGCTTTGACATTTCAGTTGGAGGTCGGATATATATATATATATATATCTATACATATAATATAGATAATTATATTATACACACATATATAGATATATATATATATAGAGAGAGATAGATTAATATGATTGATGTCGTTTTTGGCAAGCTCCCCAGCCAAAAAGCAACTTTGAGATGTTTGCTTTGGGTCGAGTTGTCCAGGAGCCTCCAACAGCACTTAGGTTCAGCCAGCGGCAGCTCAATTGCGGCAGTGGAAATTACAGCAGGAACGTAAAGCATCACTACGACTCCAGGGGATGGTAAAACGGTTCGGCGCGAAGGCACGAAGAAATCACAAAGGGTTGGTTCGTCCAGCTGTTTGCCAGACATGCAGGGACTTGGCTTTGGGTTGATAGCTTCGATTAGAGTGGTTCGTTCCCGAACCTGATGTGATATATATATATATATATGTATGAATGTAATGTAATGTACTGTAAGGTATGGTATGGTATGGTATGGCATGCATGCAATGTATGTATGTAATGTAATGTTATGTAATGGAATGTAGTGTAATGTAAGGTATGGTATGGCATGGCATGGCATGCATGAATGTAATGTATGTATGTCTGTAATGTTATGTTGTGCTATGTAATGTAATGTCATGTAGTGTACTGTACTGTAATGTAAGGTATGGTATGGTATGGCATGGCATGCATGCAAGTAATGTATGTATGTATGTATGGATGGATGGATGGATGGATGGATAAATGGATGGATGGATGGATGGATGGATGGATGGATGGATGGATGGATGTATGGAATGTATGTATGTATGTAATGTAATGTCATGTGATGTGATGTAACGTAATGTAATGTAATATAATGTAATGCAATGCAATGTAATGCAATGTAATGCAATGTAATGTTATGTATGTTATGTTAGGTTAGGTTAGGTTTCGTTATGTTATATTATGTTATGTTATGTAATTATGTATGTTATGTATGTTATGTATGTTATGTATGTTGTGTATGTTCTGTATGTTATGTATGTAATGTATGTAATGTATGTATGTATGTTATGTTATGTTATGCTATGTAATGTACTGTAATGTAATGTAATGTATGTAATGTAATGTAAGGTATGGTATGGCATGGCATGGCATGGCATGCATGCAATGTATGTAATGTAATGTAATGCAATGCAATGCAATGCAATGTAATGTAATGTAATGTAATGTAATGTAATGTATACACAACATTTAACTTCTGTTGCCGAATGAATAGGTGACCGTTCTCACAAGCACGGTTTCGCCTGCTTTCCACTTCATGGTCTTCATGGTCAATGATACACGTTGAACATTTTAACTCAGGCGCTGTAAAAGCAAAAAGGGGTCACAGAAGAAGTCAAAGCTGATGTGCAAAGGCTGGAGGCTCTGCAAGCTCGTTGGCAGTGTCCGAATCTGAGAGCGAGGGCAACGACGATGGAGGCGCTCTGCCAAGCCGAGAACCAGGAGAGCTAGGAGAGCGGGAGCCAGGAGATGCAGGCTTGTCAGGCCGGATTGAGTCGACCCAAGCCTTCCTCAGAATGAGCCTTGACTGAAAAAAGTTCCAGCATTTTTTGCACCAAACCAGATGCACCAACATCGCAGGTCTTGTGCTTGGATGGATTGACGCGTAGTTGGATGGGCTGGTGTGTTGGGATGTAGGTGAGTCGGATGCATTAACAGGATTCAGCAAGAAGTGACGAGCCCTTACTGTAGCTTCAGCCGGGTTTTCCTCCAAGGAAAGCTGAAGAGACACGCTCTGCAATCCGACGCGGGGAGATTCATGCTGCAAAGCTGGCAGCTTCATCCCGGTAGACTTTGCGGAGCTTTTCAATTGCTTCCTGAGCGTCAGGCGTGCCACGAGTGCTGCAGTGCTACACGAGCCTGAACCAGATGTCACTGGGGCCCTGCTGAAAGTGGCTGGTGGCTTGGTACAACCAGCAATCAACTCACGGCTGCTGCGCTCTCGACGATGCTCTTCACGGCTTGCTTGGTGTGCGGAAGTTGCCATCAAGTTGATCCTCAGCTTGCAGAAGCTCGAACCTATCATTTGCCCAGAGGGCCCAAGGTCGAGCACTCAGGGAGGCATGTCGGCCTTCGCGCGAAGTTCTTTCCGTATTTGCGTGGAATTTCTCCCTCTCGTGTTCGGCCTCGGAAATAATTGCATTTGAACACATTTAGAGCGGAGCCTTGAACTGTTTTCATGACTTTGGGGTCACCACTTGGGCTAAGGAGAAGCCAGTGGATGGTGTGACAGTCACAACACATGCTTCTGTTTCGCTCAGGCTCGAGTTTGAGTACGTCGTGTTTCCTTGCCATTCAATTGGCATTGACGAGTCAAACCTGAGCCATGGCAAAGACCCTGGCATTGATCCTGCTGTCCGCGAGGAGCTTGGCAGATCAAACAGAGACACCGACAGTGCCTGTCTTGTCAGCCGACCCTTGGGCCAATGTGCGGCGAGTTCTTGAGCTTCAGCCCTTCATTCGAGATGTGGCCTTGGTCGTGGGTGATGGAAATGGACGTCTCTTCCACCAAACGAAGGGTGACATGACCTTGGACCGGGAGTTGTGGGTTGCATCATCCTCAAAGATGGTGTTTGTGGTCAGGGCGATGCAAGAGGTGGAGAAGGGTACGATTAGACTCGACGACCCCGTGAACAAATACCTTGATTACTGGACGACAGACAGCAATGACCCCAGATCCAGAGTGACCTTGTTCCACTTGCTCAGCTTTCAATCTGGCTACACTTTTGGTCTCAGCAAATTGGACTCTTGCTGGCTGAAGCCTTGGTCCAACTTCAGCACTTGTGTCGAGCGGCTGTATCACAAGTTTCCTCTAAGCGCGGAGCCTGGTACTGTTTGGGACTACAATGAGTTCCACAATCAGGTTGCAGCTGCAGTTTTGGAGAAGGCTTTAGGAATCAAGCTGCAAACTTTCCTGTCACAGGACTTGCGAGACTGGAACATGACCCATAGTCGATACTCTGATCATTTTGGCCCTGGGGGTCCAGATGTGAGCGGAGATCTTGTCACAAGTGCGGAAGACTACGAGCAATTCATGGTGCGATACTTCGGAGGCCGTTTGGTGTCAAACAAGACAGCTGCATTCATGGAAGAGGATCACATGCCAAAGCGCTGCTCTTTGCCTTCCTTGCCAATGGTCATGCCACAAGGGCACTATGGCATTGGAAATTGGTGGTTATGTCCCAATGTGTATCCGGCTCTGCATGGCACGAAGCTCGGCCCGCTACCGCAAAGATGCCGTGATGCACAGGTGCATTCCGACCAAGGAATTTTTGGCTTTTGGCCAGTGTGGGATCGACGGCTGGGCTACTGGATGTTGTTTGCCGTGGGGGGGATCCCAGTCATTTCAGATGGAAAGTCTGAGCTCCTACAGCTGAGTTTGAAGCCATTTATTGACAAAGCTGTGAACTCTTTGAGATCGGGGCCATCAGCTGATTGGGCTGATTTAGCTGACTCACCTAGCTCCATTGACTGGGAACAGCTGGCGGCAAAATTCCACAGCCAGCTGCCAGCACCTGTTCTGGTGTAGTGTGGTAAGTCGCGTACACAACTCTCCGGGGTGATGCAAAAGTGGCCCTTGGCGATGCTTTGATGTTGTTGCTTGTTCTTGGGCATAAGAAAAAAGAGATAGTAGAAGATAGTAGAAGTGCCTCTTGAATCCTTTTGACGTGAAGCTGGATTTGGGTCTCCTCAAAAGCTTGTTTTGCTTAACAGAACGCTAGCACTCAGGTCCAGCCCTTAGCGGAACCATGCGGAACCGCAAGTCTTGCACTTGACACAGGGCATGACGGGCATAGTGCTGCATGCAATCCATGCAATGCATGCAATGCTTTTGGGGCAAGCGCCAGTGAGTAGAGTGAGTAGAAGCCACTGTGTTTGGAGTGAAATAGGAGCGTCCATCAGAAAGAAATGGGTCTTCAGGATGGTCCAAGTGCCTGTGTACCGAAATGCGGTGGGGTCAACCTGTTGCTAATGTGACAGGCAGATGATGACGATCCAGAAGAGAAGGCGGGCTCTAAATCTTTGTTGTTGTAAGCAGATGGAGCCGTGCTCCCTGAATCGTTGCTTTTTATCAAGACATGTTTGTGCACATGGCATGTCTTGTGGGAATTTCTTGCTGGAATTTGGAATTGTAGGCTGAAAATCGCGAAGACTACTCGGAGAAATGGCCTCTCACTTATGCCGGCCAGAATGACTTCCCGCCTTTCAGTCTTGTGATGCACCTTGCAATGCTTCCCCTGCATTTATCCTCTTCGAAAAATGCTGAGTGGTTCTCAAAAGCAGTGTGTACCTTGAGGTCGCAGCAGTACTTGGAGATGGCCTCAAAGTGCGATTCCAAGTTCCCCCAAGTTGCATTTGGGGCCATGATGACCTGTCGATGCAGAGTCACACCTGGCAACACAACTCCCAAACCAGACCTGTCGTTGAGGTTGGGGGAGATGGAACAAGGTGGAGAGAAGAAACCGTCTGGTGCAAGCCCCAAGATTGCATTCAGCAACGCTCGTGGACCTGCGATGAAAGAGACTAAAGAGACTGATGAGATGACGTAAGTTGTTTCTCTCTTGTGTTGATAGTGGCGATTGGGTGGCCTATTTGCTTGCATCAGTGGCTCAAGTCACAAGTCGCCTTGTGATGAGCAGCAATGAAGGACTGCCCAAAACAGCAACATCGCAAAGAGGATAAAGGCCGTAGTCACACCTGCGTAAACATCACGAACATGCAAAGACAGAGCAAAGCTTAGTACACCCGAAAGCGCCAAACCCGGTATGCACATGGAGCCGGCAGAATCTCTGCGTCATTCATTGCTTGGTAGCCCTAGAGGCCCCGTGCTTGGTCCGCTTGGTGCGGATGGACTGAAAGCTCGAGCGCCAGCACCAGCTGCACCAGCTCCGCCAGCTCTTGCAGCTGCAGCTCGAGTTTCATCCGATGGGTACCTTGCGTCATTTGCGTCACTCGGGTCCATCCTGAAGCCTGCGGTACTGGCAGGAGTGGTCGGTTCTTGGCATCGGCGTGCCAGGAGAAGGGAGTTGAAACAGGCGAAAGCTGTGCGCACTAAATTGCTTGCTGGCTTCAAAGTGGAAGAATGGCGCCGTGGCTTCTTTGAGCCTGATGATACCGAGCAAGGATTCTACTTTATCGAGGATGTGGACATGCCGGCAGATTTGTGCGGCACCTTTTTCAGGAATGGACCAGGCAAGTTCCAAGCAGGCAAAGACATGGTGACCCATCAGCTTGATGGTGATGGCTTGGTCCTCGCGATCTCATTTGACCCTGATGAGAAGCGGGTGTGTGTGCGACACCGCTTGGTCCAGACTCAAGGATTGCTACGTGACAGGTATGCCAAGAGAATGTTTGCAAAAGGATTTCATGGCACCCCTCCAGGCGAGGGTGGCTTGGGCATTGACCCTCGCAAGAATGTGCCAAAGCATACTGCAAATGCAACAATGATGCAGTGGGAAGACAAACTCCTCGCAGCGGGGCATTTTGGCAAACCGTTCGAAGTTGATCCTGCGTGCTTGGGAACAGTGCTTGGGAATGAAGATGAAGGTTCATGGAATATTGATGGGGCTTTGGGTGATGCTGGCATAGGTTCTTTCCCAAGAGTCTGCGGAACTGAGGAGCGCCTTGCAGAGCACAATTGAACATATTAAACCTTTTATTGAAGGGGTCAAAGTTTTAGACCAAGGTCGGAGGGAAGATAGCCACATCATTTATATAGACAGCTTCATACGATTATATTGTAGGCATGTATTCATATGTGCACATCTCCCTCTATCCTATTATATAGTTTTTATCCAATCTAGGCTCTGGCAAAAAAATCTCTCCTATATAATCTTATCCAGTCGAATATCATTTTTATATTATCTACTCTAACCTTATTTCCCCTCATCTACTCCAACATTATTCAACATCTGTAACCTTAGTATCTGAATCTAATCTATTCTTTTTGTTTTAAACATTTTAAATCAATATCTTATCTAGTGTTGTTTTTTTCTTATCCAATCTATTTATCTGATCTATATATCTCTTCGGTCTGCTCTTTCTAATCCATCTGGTCTGATCTGATCAAGTTCAAAATCAGATCCAAACCCATATCCAAATCCTAGCCTAATTTACTGTAATCCAATCTAGTCTTATATTCTCCAAGATTAATCGAATCTAGTCTAATGCAATCTGATCCGATCTGATCTGATCAATTCACATCTAAAACTACATCTTCTAATCTGATCGAATGTAATCTAATCTAATCTCATCAACTCTAAATCTAAATATAATCTAAGTCTAATCCAATCTGGTCGAATCTTATCTAAATCTAAATCTAAGTCTACATCTAATTTCATGTAATGTAATCTAATCTAAGTCTAATCTAATCTAAATCTAAATCTAAGTCTAAATCCAATCCAATCCAATCTAATCTAATCTACTATAATCTAAGTCTAGTCTAATCTAATCTAAGTCTAATCTAATCTAATCTAATCTAAGTCTAATCTAATCAAATCTAATCTAGATCTAAATCTAAATCTAGTCTTATTTTATCTTCCTTCTGTACCTTTACATGCACAGCATAGCGCACCTTTTTCTGCAATGAGTCACCCTGCAACAGTCGATTTTCTCCCAGGTGTTTGACCTTCATCACCCAGACTCCATCTGCTCTGAGTACCACAGTCAGCTACTTGGAGTTTGCCCCTGGTGCCTGGCGGCCGAGGTATCCGAATGCTCGGCAAATCGATGTTGGAGGCTACACTCGCTTCTCCGATTTTGCCATCACACCCAAGTGGTTTATTTTGTGCAAGCCTCCTCTTCGGGTGGATGGTTTGGGTGCTGCCCTCGGCAAGACCTTCAGCGAAGTTTTGGATTATGACCCTACTGGCACTTCTGAGCTGATTTTTGCGACCCGGCTGAAGAGAGATGAGGCTGAGATCGTGATTCCTGTGGATAATCTTGTGTGTGAGGAGTTTGTGAATGCCTACGAGGATGGCAATCGAGTGATTCTGGACATGATTGCAGCAGATCGTTGGGATGGCAAGGCCAAAGAAGGGCGCCCCAAGTGGGAAGAAACAGATGAGAGCACCTGGCCCAAGCTCAGGTTGGTCCGTTATGAAGTGGATTTGGCATCTCAGACTTGGACGAAGACAGAAGGTCCGGTGCAGAAGAATTTGTGTTTCACTTCTGTGAACAGCACCATGAATGGCAAGAAGCACAGATACATTTTCGGCGCCGTGTCCCAAGCAGATGCGGGACCTGCAAGTGGCGTTGTGAAGGTTGACATGGAAACTGGTACTGTTGATGAGTGGTTGCTGGAAGCTTCCGAGTTCTGTGGCGAACCTCTCTTCATCTCCAAGGATGGCGAGGAAGACGGAGGCTATTTAGTGACTGTGACCTTCAATGGTGAGAAGAACAGCAGTGATGTGGTGGTTCTGGATGCCAAGTCTGTCTCCCAAGGACCGATTTGCCGTTTCTCCTTGGAGAGACCAATGCCACACGGCCGACGAGCTTGTTGGGTGCCACAGGTAACTTTCACTCCAGATGAGATGAAGAGAAAGACAACATTGATGCGGATGTTTGCAAAGAAATCCATGGAGTGGAGTGCCGTGGACCTTGGATTCTCAGCTATTGGGAGTCAAGCACTTTTCCAGAAACAAGGGACCAAGATGCGTTGATTGGAGGATGTCTCCGAATATTGATTTGTATAATTGATTCCGGCCGGCAAATTTTGTTCCCCCTGAGGAGTTTTCCCAGTTGCAGGTTGCTGCTTGTGAGTAGCACAGCGACCACGACAAAGTCTGGCAATTTTCAGGGCACTGACAAGAAGCGAGCGGTTGGCTGTCTGGATACAACATGATTCAACATGATTCAACATCAAATCATTCCAGTTGCAAGAGAGGCACAAGATATGACTAAGATCTGTTGTCAGAGGCAACCTGCTCCTGACAGCTGAATCTTGGACATGGCATGCACAACGAACAGGTTCTAGTGAGATGGAACAGATGATGAAGCAGATGGGCAGGTGCCTCAGGCTCATCGCAAGCTTCCAACAGAGGCTCCATCGACTTGAACTTCTATACATCATTATAAAATATTATAAATTATACAATATTACATATCATCCCTCTACTCTACTTACTCACGTTCGTGTATACTCAGTATACGGGTTCCGAATCTTCCAAGGTCTCGATCCAGCAATGATGAAGCAGATGGGCAACATGCTCAGCTGAAGGCTTTGTCAAGCAGACGAGTGATCCAGCAAAGAGTGCTTCCAAGGCATGGACCCCAAGTCCATGCAGGACAGGTTGCAATCCGTCATATTGCATGTATATATATATACATTTTTATACCGTATTCAGTATCGTTTCAATATTGTATCCTAGTATTTCATGGCATGGCCTGTGGATTCACAGCTCTATTGTTTTTGTTCATGCTGTTGACCACATGGCCGATGAACCGAGGGGGAGTGTCGGGTCTTTCTTATCCTTTTTTGTCGCCGTCTTAATCACTCAAACCTGCCCTTCGCGAGAAAATGATGAAGCAGATGGGACTGGATCCGAGCATGTTGAAGATGATGGGCATGGATCCATCCATGATGATGTTTGTGGCTTAGTGATTGTCGACAGTTGCCGCGATTCTTCTGATTAGCCAGTTTTTCTTTTGTTCTTTTGAACGATGTTGAACGTCTTTGCGAGCCAAATCGACCCAAAGGATGAACATGATGAGCATGATGAACCCTATGGGTATGATGGGCAGCTCGGCATGCACCGATGTGGCTGGAGAAGGCCTTGGACCACCTTGGATCAGTTCTCATGTCTGCAGGTGGCATGGGCGGTGGAATGAGCAAGCTGATGCCCAAGATGGATTGCAAAACAGTTTGAACATCCCACATTTTTATACATTTTGACGGACCTGTATAGGACCGTATAAGCACTTTTGAACAAGGTCCACGATGAAGCAGCTTGACACCCAGCAATGGATCAGCTGAGATGTTATATAAGTTATATAGTTGCTTTTGTCAATTTTGTCTTGGCATCATTGAGTCCAAACGATCATTGTTCGGACTTGACTTGCCGTCAGGATGGGGATGGACACCAACATGATGCAGATGATGGGTGGAAAAAAAGGCCACACCAAATCACTGTAGCTTGCAAGATGCATGAGAAGAAACCGAGCCTTTACCCCTTTGCATCCCTTTGCCATCTTTGCCTCTAATTTTCCACGTTTTGGGCCCGATCCCAGGAGATGGAGAAATGTCTGGACCCAAAGAAGTAGCCTCGCTTCTGCTTGGCCCCGGTGGCTGACCGGTGAAAGCTTGGTTTGTTTTTCAAGGCTTGCCCTTGATCAGACACCTGCAATGCCTTGAGCTAAGACCTTTGGCATCCGTCGGCATCCTGCTTTGCTTGGAAATAGATGGAAATAGCATATTGGACGACATTGGACGACGTTGGACGACGACGTTGGACTAACAGGATGCCAACAGATGCCTGTTGCAAGTCCGCTGTTCGCAGCCGTTTTGGCCAGACACGTAGACGTAGTGGCAGTAGAGTTGCAGAAGCTTTCCAAGCCTGACCAGTGCTGAAAGTATGAAGAGAAGCCCGGCCAAATTTTTCGTTTAGTGTCACATGAGCGTGGTACAACTGTGACAGTTGGATACAGTTGGCACGTGCGTCGGCTTTTTCTGTGAGAACGAGGAGCCTTTCACCGACTTCTTTGTGGTGACGCCGAGGTGGTGGAGCTTGGCACAGCTAAGTGTAGCCTCTATAGCGGTGATTTTGCCTCCACCAAGATGCAAAATCTTCTGATCCAGCTTGGCTGTTCCCTGAACAGAGGCCAAATTCAGAGAACATCACATGGAGGAGATCCTGCATATCATGCAGCAGGAGTGGAAACTGTGTGGTTGGGATGGCTTAGCTCTAACGCATTGCGGTTTGACAATGAGAGCTTGTACCTGGACCTCCCTAGCAGGACAAGCAAACGCTGCTGCCAAAGTTACTTGACCTGCCGGGCGTCAAGAAGAGGGGGGCTCTGGCAACGGCGGCAGCGCTGCTAGCGAACTTGCAGCTTGACTGCAATTGAGGAGTTCAGATGTCAAAGATCATCAAAGCAATTCAAAGCAATTCAAAGATATTCAAAGCATGTCCGCCTTGGAAGCTCTGGCGAGGCCTTTGCTTGGACTATCCGAGGGCGATGCTGCGTGGGTGAGAATCCTCAATGTATCCGTCAAGGAATCATGATGACAGTTTCAAGTTCTGTTTTCCATTGTTTTCCCATCATATCGCAGTTTAGTCTTGTGATTCTTGTGCAACACTGCATATGACGCATATATGTCGCATATGTTGTGCGTATGCCAGGAGCATAGGTCACCTGATGAGACCAGGGAGCTGGTCCACCTCATGGCGGGCAAGAAGCATCGACCTCAGCACAGCATTCGACTTTCCAAAGCGCCAGGATCATCAAGGATAGTTTTTTTTTTTTTTAAACATATTTTTTGAATCAGGAGAACGTAAATGGCAACAGAGATCAGGGACAATAGCAACCTTTCATTTTGTGTTTCACCGGACTGGATCCTGTTATATCTATGATATATCTATGATATCCCCAAGGGCCCACAGATTTTAAACAGAACTTTCAGCTGCTGGGGCCAAAGCAAGGGCCATTTAGAAGTGCATTGCCCATGATAATGATGCAGTAATGATGCAGAAACTTTGGCGGTGGGATGCATTCTGCTTCGGCAATCCGAAGTTCTCGATGGGGTTGAAGTCCCCAAAACTTTTGTACTGTGAAAGAGCATGGTTTTGTTCTTGATGTTTTTTTTCAGCATTCGTTGTCTGCGTGAGGCAAGGCGAGTATTTGGCACGCTATTTCCAACACCTCCACCTCCGAGAAATGCATGCTCCTCAGATGTACAACTTTTACAACCTGCATTCGCGGGGGCAGAGCTCAGTCCCAACCTTTGCCAGGCTGCAAGCCCTTGAGATCGACACTTTGTCGGCCATGTACCAAATGCTGAAGGTGGAAGGCCCTACGGCAGGGCACTAAATGCCACGGATGTGTTGATTTTAAATCCACTGTGCGAAGATTTATTGCGTCAGACCGTTTGCTTGCTGGAGATTGCTGGAGATTGGTTGCGGTAGCACTTTGCGGGATTCCCATGGTCAAAACTTGAACTGTGTGCCCATTTTGGGGGATGCCAATACCGGGGACTTAAATGCCCGTCATAAGGATTCCCATTATGGCATGGATGACCAGAAACCACATATTATCTTCTGACCATGGCACGGATAGAACTTTTTGCTGCAGGAGTGGACAAGAACCCCGCCAAAAGACGAAGGATTGCCGGAGAGTGACTTGTCTAGAAAACAATCCAGATACTGTAGCAATGGCAACATGCGAACACATTGGCACTACATTGAGAGAGCGAGCATGTTGGCAAGGGAGGCAGCAATGCAGCTTTGTTTGGTGCGCATTCCGTCCCTTGGCAGGGAAGAAAAGCAAAGCACTGTCCTAGTGGCAACTGCCCTCATGGAAAAGTTGGAATCGCGCTTCGATTCCTGGCAGAAAAGAGATGCAGTTAAAGCTTTGGAAAGTGAGTGGCATTGACGCAGCAAAAACCATTGATAGCCACATATAGCCACTCACTCATGAGAAACTTGAAGTGGGTTAATCAAGATCTAGGAGCGTAAATCAATCGAAGAAGTGTTGTTAGGCAAAGCAACTGAAACTTGAATTAACATCGATTGAAGTAATCGGCGAGCAGCCGCATGTGCGGTCAGAGACTGCATCAATTTCTTGTCATTTTGGATGTGCAGCTCAGCCATCTCAGGCAGCAGGGGACCGACATGTGGCACTTCAGCTCCGAGAGCTCTATGCAGACCAGCTGGAAGTCGCCAAACTGGCCGACCTTGTCATCACATCCCATGAGGTTCCAAGCTTCAGATGCACTATGTTGTAACATGTTGTAACATGTTGTAACAAACAAAAAAAGAAACAAACTGAAAAGCATTGATTCTTGGAAAGCAGTTTTTTTCGTTCAGCGGGCTGTCAGGAGGTGCAATTGCCTACCCTGGCTGAAGAGATGGACCTCAGTTTGGGAGTCAAACTTCTCGACAAGATCTCGCAGGGCCTGGCTGGATGGAACCCACAGCCGACTCTTTCGGAATGTCTTAGCTGCTTTGCAGTCCAGATCGGGAAGCGCCACGAAAAGAATGGAGCCCTGCAGAAAGCAAGTGAGTGCTTTCGCCAGGCAATGCGTTTTCATTTCAACAAGGAGGCACGTGGCCTGCTGACGGACGTCTTGCTAGCCTGCCACAGCAGCAAACACCATGCTCCAGCTATCAACAGCTGTGAGCTGCTGAATCTGTTGGCCGAGGAAGGTCGCTGGGAGACCTTGGTGCAGAAATGGTCGGCCTTGGAGGGATGTGCCGAAAAGACGCTGATGTGGACTACCGACCAAGTTGACCAGCTTGCTCGTGGATTTGAGATGGCTGGTGACCAGAAAGCAGCTGCCCTCCTTTATGTGAACCAAGGGCTGGTGAAGGAAGCTGCTGGTTGCAAACATGAAGCTTTTGCAGCTTTCAGGAAGGCCTACAACGTGGGCGACAATGCTGAGAAGAGCGCAGAGTCAGGGCTAACAAGATTGGCCGTTGAGGTTGGCCGCGTGCAAGACGCGGCGACAGACCTGCTCAGCCCCTTGCTTGGTGGAACAGATGAAGCAAGACAGCGCGTGCACACGTGCTTTAAACTCCTACAGGACTATGTGGATCTCAGGGTTGGAGCTGGCCGACCTGGACCAGGATCAGGGCCAGAACCCAAAGACAGTCCCATCCACGAGCTGCACAACATGTTCGTGGACTCGCAGGACAGCGACTGCATCATTGAGAGAAAACCAGCAGAGGCTCCTTCCCTCTCGGCAGCTCCAGCAACACCTCTCAGCGTTGCTCCAGCCACACCCTTGTGGCAAGCGTCGAATTGGACCCAAAAGGCCTGTTTTTTTTTTTGACTTCGTTGCATTATGTTGGAAGATGTTAAAAGAAGTCCTTTGAGCGCCAAGTATGTTTTCAAAGGAGTCACATGTTGCAATTTGTGCCTAGTTTCCTAGTGTAGTTTCTTTGACTTGGGCAAGGCTGGCCAACTGCGAGAGCAGCACCCCGATCGAGTTCCAACAATCTGCATGCCAGCATTGGACCCCAACCGGCCGGACACCTCGAGCCTTGGCACCTAAAGCTTTCGTGGAAGAGTGCAACATAACTCAACATATTTCTGTGCCAATAGTCCGAGACTGCGCCTTAAAGTCGCCCGGCTCTCGCCTAGCTCTCGCCCACTTCCCCCCCGCTCGAAATCCATTAATTGGACTGAATCTCAGGATGGATTATTTTAAAAAGACACTTATTTGCATTTAGTTTTTGCAGCAGGATGCCTGCCGTGGTGGATGCAGTGTTGGTATATTCTGGTCATGTAAAATTTTGGCTAGCACTGTCAGGCCATGGAAGTTCTTGTTGAAGGAGGATGCAACCTCTGCAGACTTGATGCTTGTCTTGGATAATCCTTTGATTTGGAATGAGCTGCCGGCTGTGTGTGGTGGACAGATGTGAGTGGCAGGGTGCATCATACTGCATCACAAACTTAGGAAAAGACAGATTCAGAAGCGCTTGATGGAGTCAGGCATGGAATTCCTTCCGGCTTTTGTATGCTTTTGTTTTTTTTCTACCAGCTCCGCCACTCTTGCTTTGTCTCCAGGGCCATCACAATCATCACAGCATATCCTTGGGGCGGCGTCAGAAGTGCAGCCTTCGCTTGGGAACGCTCAATTGATTGGGCATCTCTACGATCCTTAGCCCTTCATTGGGGATGAGCAGGGCCAAACCCTGGAGACTAGCAAGGCCAAATCACGTAAGTTGAAGCAGGTCATATCAGCTCATTTTCACCCTTGACCACAGTTGGCCTTGAACCAAGGAAAGGCACAAACGTGATGATTGCCGTTCGCTGAGTTTGTGGCAGGGTGTGAGCTGAATATAGTGTCATGAGAAAGGCCAGCAACATTCATCATTACCTTAGGTTACGTTAGATTCAGCTGCGTGCTCAAGGTCTTTATCTAAAATTCACCTTGGACAAGTACGCCTCAGGTGGCCTCCGCCGCTCCGGCTGATGATATGCTGATGATTCATGTGTTTTTGGACATGATTTAGATATGATTTAGATATGAAAGCCACGTGGCATGCTTCTTGTCAAAACAGTATTTCGATATATTTCGATTCAGCAGATCTCAGTTTTTCCCATGCAGCCAAGGACTGGAACTCTTCCTTGCCTGAATGCTTGCGGATCCATGATATCAACATCCATCCGTTCCAGGTGTGCATACAGATGCTTTTAGATAATTATGTAGCTGCAGCTATATCCGTCAGAGACCTTACATGCCGTCTTACGTGCCGTCTTACGTGCCTGCCTCTGCTGGCATTGTGACTCAATTGTGACCATCCCGATGCTGCCATGTCCGCCTCCTGACTTCGTGTGTTGACCACAACTGATTTATAGTTATTAGAACAACAAACCGAACAAGCCAGCAACAAACCTCAGAATAGTTCCATATGGCAGCATATGGTGACCGTGTGTCGGATGGACATCAAGTTCCATGCATTTTTGTGATGGACCGGCATTCGGAGACCGGTTGACCCAACAGTACAGATTCGGTGATCGGAAAATAAATCGGCAGCCGCTGCCACTGAGCCACTTTCCACAGCTTTGCAGTGCATTGTGTCCAAACACCGTACCATTTGTGCCTTGTATTGCTGCACACTCTCTGCCCAAATGGCCTGCACATTCAAGCCAAAGGTCGAAAGGTCAGTCGCCACCACGTGGTCGTTCTCGCTCGAGAAATGGAAGGCCATGCGAGCTCCTCTGTCCTGGAAGGAAAGGAGGCATAATGGCATAATGAGGGCACTGATTTGATTTGTAGCCAGTCATGAGTCATGACATGGTCTTTTCATAAGCCTTAATCTACAAAACTAGAATCTTTGTTCGAGGCGGGAGCGCTCGGGTAGCGCCAACCGTGTTGGCCCTAGTGGTCTTCCCTCTCATGGTCGCGTTGAATCCATGCTTCGAGTCCATGTGACCTGCACTTTGATGAGCATGCAAATTTCAATCAGCTGTTTGTTGCAACTCCCAGTTGTGAAATACAGGACGCCGACCCCCTTCCGGACAGCCGCCGAAGGAGGACAGTTTGGCAGCGCTCGTGTTTGCCATTGACCTGGCATTCAAAGCGATGTCACCGTTTCGCAGTGAGTTGACTTCTTTACTCCTTTGTGCAGGGGCAGCCTGGGGCAGCAAATGTCTTAGCATTTTATGTCTGGAAATTATTCAGACTAAAACCTCTCCAAGAACGTCTTGTTTCGTGTTTTCTTTCCCTCCCGTTCTAAGGAGGGCAAACTGTCACATGCTCAGATAGTCAAAGTCTGCAACGAGCAGCATTTGTTTGCTCGACCTGGTTTCAGCGCAAAGTCACCACAGGAAGACCAGTGTAAGCGTGAGATGTGTTCCGAGGATGCTCTCCGGCGTGCCTGGATCTGGCGTCAGGGACTGAAAGCATGATGGCAATGGCCTACACAAATGAAGTTTCGGGTTTTAAGTTATAACTGTTAGGCTGCTTGTGCTGCCTGTGCAAGTCATTTTCGTGAGATTTTATTATTGGCATGCGACTGGACCAAGGGCGCCAAGCAGCTGGCTCAGCATTGCACATGTCAAGCATTCAACATGTCACATCGTCGAACCCTTCAAGTGGTCGAGATCGGCCGAGATCGGCCAAGTTTCTGAGGCAAGGTCTCTTTCGGCCATCAGCTCAACAGGCGCCGCCCGAGGATCCTGCCAAGGCCAGAGCCGCCAGAGCTGCCAGAGCCGCCAAGCTCACTTCGAAAGTTCTCAAACTTCTCTGAGATTGGTAAATGTTTCAACCATGTTTATAGTCCTTAGATGTCCTTAGCCGTTCCTAAGCCATTTCTAGCGGTTCAGCCATTGGTCAATCAGGTAAGAGGTGGGCACTGGTGGGCGATGTTTTGTGTTCCATCTGGCCTTTGATTTTGCCTATAGTCACCTACTCTATGTGGGCTCACTTTACTTCTTGGTGTTTGTTGCTTCTATGCATGTCCACTGCTTGCCACTGAAGCGTCCATGAAATCTTGAGACGCAGTTCGATTTGCCATGATGATTCGGGCATGCGCAGCTCACCAACTGCGCCAGGTGGCTGCTCGCAAGGCAGCAGCAAGTGCAGCAGCAGCAGCATTTGCAATGGCTGCAGGGAGAGTAGATCGCTGAGATAGTACGTTGTAATGCGTTGTACTGTGACACATTGTGATGCAATTCTTTCCAAACAAGTCTGGAACGCTATGGAAACCTACTTGAATCATTTTGAATAATCTTTAACCCGAGGTCGCTGAGACGTCTCGGGATGCTGCCCGGGATGCAGCTACTGCAAAGGCAGCAGCTCCACACATGCAGTTGGCTCCTCTGGGCAAATGGTGATGGTAAAGCTGGTGCTACAAAGAAATCGACCTTGGCACTGTGACGCTGCGACGTAAGACTTCAGTCAGCCGAGGCCAGATCCAAATGACCGACGACCTGTTGGTTTTGAATCTGCATGAGCCTTACGATGAATCTGTGGCACAGAGGTTTCCATATGAAATTCACATTGTGAATGTTGTCAAGATGAGCATTCAGAAACCGTCTCCAAGGGCGAAGGCGGACATGGCAGGCAGTGCCATGCCATCTATGCAACAAGTCTTGACCATCCTTGAAGGAAGATTTTAAATGTTGGGTGCGTTGGCCAGGACTTGGCATCCCGATCCTTTAAATCCACAGATGAAACCGCCCGTCAAGCTTTGGCTGTCCAGACCTTGGATAACAATTGCGCTCTGAGTCGAGCTGCCCAGCTGCCAGTTGTTGACAAAGGCCGGAGCCAACTGTGCAAGAACAGATCCCGCCTCCCCGACCAGTTGAACGAACTAGCTTAAGTGCTTAAGTGGTGTGTAGCGTTGGTTGCAATGGAGGGCTTCAGAGGAGACTTCCTGGCATTGTGTGCTTCTTGCCAGGCATGATGGACCTCCAGAGCCACAAAGACATTTTGCACAAGAAGAGAGGCGGAAGAGTCACAGACTCAGCTCTTCAGCAATTTTTGCAATGCTGAGCCGCAAGATGGCGCAAGGAATGCACAGGAAAAACCGATGAAGCATCATCCAGCCTCGCTGCCTCATCAGCATGTTGTGCGACAGCTTCCACATCGAAAGGCCCTCGCCGCAAGAGCCGGAGCAAGACTCCGAGAAGAAATCGTCAGCTGCTGAGATGGGGCAAAAAGTCAGTAGTTCCTCCTCAAAAACGGGAAACTTGGAATTGTGAACCTGCCAGGTAAACGCGGCAGTGGTGGCTGGGATAATGAAGAGGTTTGGACAGCACTGCTTGAGCTGTAAATTCAGTATAGTAAAGACTCTTCTCTGCTCGAACTGTACTTCGTTATACTTTGTAGTCTTTGTATGTCTTTGTGAGTTTGTGCCCCTGCCTTGGCCATAAATGTGGCAGGCGCCACCCGCGCCAGCACCTTCATCCTTTACAGCCCAAGCTGCCCCATCGAGGCTGTGACTGCGACTTTTTGAACGGAGAAACTGCTGCTGACAGCTGCAGATGTTGATCAGTGAGTTGTCAAGGCCGGCCCTGCCGCCCGGAGCAGTGCTGGGCCAAGCCATACTTGTCACTGAATGAGTATTTTGGAGGTCTGCTTCGGACTTCTTGATCACAACCATGGGATGTACTGGTGAGAGATAGAAATTTGAGCAGTATGACAGAGACTACTGTACATGAAATTACGCTGAGGGAATTTCCCATCAGAGTAGCAAGTAGACTTCAAGAGCCAAGGCAGCACCAATGCTGCCAGTTCCGGCTGCACCAGGAGGTGACTCAGTCATGAGCTGTTTGATGATCGGCATAGCTTGGATGTTCAGCAGTTCAACACGGATAGCCTTGCAGGAGGAGCTGCACCAGTTCCAGTGAACCGCTTTGGAATTCCGGAGGCAAAACATGGTTAAACCATGCTGTTAACCCATGTTAACCTTTGTGAACCCTGAATGTATTTGCATGTATCAATCTTGGTGAAACGACAGAAGGGAAGTGGCAAGATTTCAAATACTTTTGAATTTTGAACATTCTTAGCAGTAGCATTCTCAGCATTCTTCCATATTTTTAGCATTTTTTAACGGTTTCTATCCGTTTCTGTTTTGATAAGTCCTTCGGCCTTCGACGAATTTCCAGCCCCACTTTCCAGGCCACGCCTGAGGCGCTTGCTGCCGCTGTCTTCCGAGCGCAGCAGGCGCTTCGATGGGATCCTGCGGTCCATGTTCTGGTGACAGAACCTGCACACTCCAAAAAAAGTATATAGTTACGTACATATGATACATATAATATCCATATATAAAGTTGCATATAAATTGTATGTTAGTATATGGTACATTATAGTACTTTGAAATATGCAATGGTAGAAAGATAGCAAAACAAAAGGTTCAGTCTTTACATCTCTCTGTGCTGCGGCCCCTACACATGCATGTGTTTGATCGTGCTTTCACAGATGCAAATTCTGACTCCAGCCAGTCGGCAAGTTGTGCTAAGAGCGAGTTTTCATTATTGGGGAGTGGGAGGGCCTCTGACAAAGTGTAGCCGCAAACGAGGGGATGGTGTGCGGGATTGGAATAAATGTAACCACGTGGGCAAAGCGGTTGACATGCCAGGTAGAACAGGCTGGTTTGGAGGCACAGCTGGAGATCCCTGAGATTCCTGTGCCAATTTTCAGCCATTTTGAGCCGTAGCAGTGGTTGGAGTTACTGCACGGATTTTGGTTTTTGTGTTTCAGGCCATCCGGTCTACAGGCGCTAAGATCAAGCCGCATTGCATTGTGACTTTGTTGTGTGTGAATTGCAACGATCAGGGCAGATCCCTAGAGGTCCACCCGATCTTCCCACTGGAACTGTGCCCCTGTCTTGAATTGCTGGAAGTTTATCAAGGAGATTCAAGGAGACTCTTGACATACTCATGTGGTCCACTGCTTGCCAGGAAGTCATTGAACAAAAATGTGTTGCGTACCTCATTGGCAAGGGTGGCCAGGCCTGATCGTATTCCGGCTTGTCACTTGTCACTGGCAGAATCATTTGATATATATATATATTATATATGTACTACCTAAATGAATAAATGTATAATTAAATAAGTAAATACATAAATACATAAACACAACTATAAATAGATGACTAAATAATGTATATAGATATGTAAATTATATATATATAATATATCGCTTTTCAAATAAACATTTCTCGTGTTGATTGGTATCTGGTGTTTGCTGAGTAGCCAGGCGCTCGCCGCCATCAATGCTGCCGCTGGGGTATCCATCCAGATTGCCACCCTGGCAAGTTTCGTATGGAGATCACATTGCCGCAGGAAGTATGTTCAGTTTCTCTGCCAAGAGAGGCAATAGTTTAGTCTGAGATAGTATTGAGCACAATGGACGGGCAGGATCAAAGCACAAAGAGCTTTGGCTGGAGCTCCTTGGTGTTGAAAAATCAGGAAGACCTTTGCCAGACGCATGTTGCCCACTGAGAGGAACGTCCTTGCTGAGGTATGGCCAACATTTACGGCACCGAGGAAGGTGCTGCCAAGGTCTGGCTTGCTATCTGTACAATCTCCGCCTTTGCATAATCTTGGGCAGGCAGATACTGTAAACCAGATTCTGTCGTTTTCAGATTCCACTGGCAGACGGTCTGTTTGAGAGCACCTCGCGCTTGTGACATGTAAGGGAAGTCAAGTTGACTCTGGCATCTCATACCATTTCATGCAGCTGCAGGCAAAAATGATCCTCAGACAAAAGGTGTCGGAATACCGTCCTCTCCGTGCGTAAGGACTGCATTTTTGCTCGGTTTACCCCACACGGCTCGGACCCAATTCTTGGATTTCAGCTAACGTGGCTGATCGACCCGCACCGGCAAAGGTCGTTCTCATTCCTATCATGCCCATCATGTCAGGAGCAGTTGGAGAGTGGTTTTGCGTGCGTTCCTTCACCAGCAAGGAAAGGCCGGAACTGATGTGGTGGGGCATGGATTCCGGTAAGATGTTTATTGGGCGCATCCACAGGCTTTAACGCTGTGAGCTGCCCGGCTGCGGAAATGACGCAGAAACCATCCAGCTCTGTTGCTTCCGTGGACTGAACATATTATTTGGTTGAGATGTATATAGGATGTAGGCCTGTTTTCGAGACGCAGAGCGCATTTGACTGCGTCAAAGCAATTCTGGCCTGTGCCAAGCCTGTTTGCCCTCCAGATATCCAGGTTTTGCCACCTGTCTACGTTATCTCTTTTGAAAACTACATTTATGTTGGCGCAGGGCACAGCAGGTTGGAAGTTGGAACTTTAATAAAAATGAAAAGACTTTAACTACCAAGCATGTCCAGCAAGATCCAGCAAAGACATGTATATAAAACTCAATGCCACTGTTGACAATGCTGGACGTGCTTATTGGAACCGGCTTCTCAGACCGGCTCTTGAAAGTGCCCCCTTTGCGCGCGTCCGTGTGCGCCCTTTGGGACTGCCACAAAAAGCTGAAGACCAAAGACATAGAGAGAGAGAGAGAGAGAGAGAAAGAGAGAGAGAGAGAGAGAGAAAGAGGCATAAAACGCATCATTTGAATTCATATGATAGAAACAGGTTTCAATCTCGAGTCAGGGCTCACCAGGGGCTTGTAGCCGCCTTGACGAGCTAGGACCATCGTGCCACGGCCTCGTAAATTCATGTCATACCTGTCTATACAGACATCGTGCCAGACAAAGCCGAGCTTTGCAAATTGATTGTGATGATGCGGAAAAGCCAAGGTCTTAACAATCCAGCGATGGAAAGGTGATGGTCAGAATGGCTGGCGGCTTGAGGCAGGCAATCTTGTGCTTTGATTTCGACGTCCTTTGACCACGGTGTAGTGCTCTCCCACTCTCTCCCAATGCAACATTTGCCTTCAAATAAGACCTTAAAACCGGCTGTTGTGATGCGGGAATGAAATATGACCAGCATCCTTTTGCTGACTTATGTGCCTATGTATATGTATATGTATATATGTATATGTATATGTATATATACATATTTCCCCCATCAGCTTCGAAAGCAATCCCATACTATTCTGTTCCGATAGCATGTTCCATGCTATTTGGCATTTTTTTGATGTTGTTTGCTCCGTTTCTTCGCCAGACATATATTTAATATACCATGAAGCCCTGATTTGATTTGTGCCTGGACGGGAGACAGGTTGCGATTCCTCCATGCAAGCCTTGTTTGGCTTCTCTTTGCCCAGGTGCATTTGCACTTGTGGAAAGCAGGAAGTTCTGGAGTTTCTCAGGGCTTTGATCAAATTCGTTCGAGTTGGTTGAAGGCATTGGCAGCCACAAACACGCCAAGCTCCACGGCACTACAGCAGGCAAAGAGAATAAAGAGATAGGTCTTTCAAAGTTGTAACGTTCGCATGGATCGCATGGATCGCATGGATCGCATGGATCAACTTGCATCAGCTATCACAAACTGCTCCCGCGGCCTCAGCAACATAGCGCCAGACAAAATGCCCACATCGGACACAGCATCCGAATGCATCCGAACATGATGCGTATGCCCTGCTCGTCTCACCACTCGTCTTTGGATCTTAAAGTCCACGCGAGGCAAGAGAGTGCATGCTTCTAGGTGGTTGGAACCTCAAATATTCGCAGAAACCCTGCCTCATGATAGATGTCGTCTTCATGTTGACTGAGGACATCTCGACCTCTTTAGGGACCATGGTGTTGAGCCGCACGTGCCACAGTGGGACACCTAGCTGCTTCTGATGGTTTGTGTGGCCGGGATTGGCAAGTTGACTCAGTTGACTCAGTTGACTCAGTTGACTCAGTTGACTCAGTTGACTCAGTTGGCTCTATTTCAGTATGTTTCACTTGCTGACGGATCTTACGGATCTTACGGATGGCTCGCAGGTGTATCTACACGGACTGCCCCCAGGGATCTGAAAAGGCGGATGCATTTTTTCAATTTCTCGAGACATGGCCGTCTCAATCAAACGATGCCAAAGAGAGGGCGAACTACTTTTTTTCATTTCTATTTTTTTACATCTCTTGCGCTATGAGTTTTCTTGTGCCTCTTCTCTTGGAATTTATCACTTGTACTTCCCTAGTTCCCTCTTGCCACCTGTGCAGCTCCTTAGACGAGTGTTGAAGCAGTCAGTAGCAATGACCAGAAGGCGTTCGGCAGTTGCGTGAATCCAGAGCTTCCTGGCCAAGCTGCTTGGCTAAATTTTGCAAGTTGTAAGCCGTGAATGCAATGAACGCAGCCCTCTCCAAAAATTGTCAAATCTCCCGAGTTCTGGCTTTGCCATCCTTCAATCCTTCAGCATTTTTTGCGTGGTTTCGCACGGGGAGGGAGATAGAGGGAGCAAAGAGACTTGCATGGGAAATGTTGAATACCACGCGCCTAAAATATTGAGTGCCTGAGAGAGACTGAGGCCAGGGAAATAGTGCAGACCTCAAATTCGACAAGAGACTTGAGCAATATGTCTTGCTATTTGTCTTGTTTCAACCTGCAAATTTGCCCTTGAGCAAAAAACAGCAGACGGTTTGTCTTCCTTAACATGTTTGTTTTCATGGCATGTTATTCTCATTTTAGCTGTCTGATTCTTAGGCCCTGACGCCAGGTTCTCGGCAAGAAAGTCGTAGTATTCTTCCAAAGATGGAATGATCATATACTTTCTGTGCATGTGAAACTGCAGTAATTATGCAATAAAAAAAACGCAGGTTGCACTCTCCCTGCACGAGTTGTGCTGCAGATGGTGCCAGACTCTAAGCCACAGGTACTCCTTGAGAGAAACCAGCACTGCAACAACGCATAAAATGCAGACATTTGAAGACCAACGCCAAGCTGCATTGAGGGGGTGGAACTTGCTGGCCGCTTGTGGGTGCAGGGGGTCCAAGACGCATGAATGTGGGACGCTTGCAAGAACAGGTATTTCCAGGCTGAGTGCAAAACAGCTTTACCATTCTCAAGCGGACGAAGGTAGATGATCTTGAAATACATTCACTCTGCCTTCACCCAGTGATTTGAAAGGTTGAACCACTCGTGATCATTGGCCTGTAAGTTGTTCAAGGAAGCAAACAACTCATCGTCTAACCTTTAGCGGCACTTTAGCCGCCACAAACTCTGGCTTGAAATGCTTGTGGAATGAGTGGGGCTTGAACAGCCGACGAGTAAACACTTAGTGACACTAACGAGGGCGCTGGCTGCGGCTCTTCAAGTGCCTCTCCAAGAGATACAAGTGTCAGTCTCGACCTCAGGCTCTTTGACCTGTCATAGTCTTTGAGTCCTTGGCATGATGCTGCTGATATTGTTGCGGTACCCTGCCACTTGGCGACAGATGCTCCTCATGCGCGATGTGCTGTGGCGGGACTATCCGCTCCAGCATTTTACGCTGCAGAAGAGTTCGGAGGCTTCAAAATCCTTGAGAAATGTCAAGACTTTTTGGAATGGGGATTGAAGATGATGGATGCACTTGAAAAGGAACCTGATGGATCTTGCCCTTGATGCGTCAGCTCGATATAACTGATGCAGTGTCAGGGCCCGCTGGTGACTCCGTACGGCGGAGTCCTACAAGCTGCCGCCATTGACAGCGGTTACAGGCAACACTGCCTCGCTGGCGCATGCTAGCACATACTGACACCGTTTATGAGTTCCGGGCCGTTGCTTGGAACCACCGCGCTTGAGCATTCGTTGCTTCAGGTGGGACTTCTTTATGGCTGTCAAGAGCCAAGATTACTGGAGAGCAGACTCAATTCAAACGTCTCATCCGCTCTCATCGGCTTGATGTGTGATATTCTGCATGATTCATCATGATTCATCATAACTGTCATAACTCAGGTTCGTGTCCACACCTCTCGAATAGACCCAGGCAAGGCCAAACTGGGCGGGAACTGTTCTACTCTTTCAGCCAATGCCTGTGAAACACTGTTTTAGACATTGTGAAACGCAGGGGACCCAAAGTACTTGGAACTGATGGCCAGAGCCTCAGCATGCGATAGTGGTGCAGCCATATGCAGCCATATGCAGCCATATACAGTAATTGCATGTAATTGCTGTACAGTAATTGGTGACTGGTGTATTACCCTGCATTAGTATAGAATATGGTGTCCAGTATGCGCATTTTTGTGAAGTTACATGTGCAACTGTTTGCATAATTCATAAGTTTGAAAAAGTGGGACTGACGCCTTGTTCGTCAGGCCCTCCACCCGTCACCGCTTCTAGAGGCCACCGGTTTTGAAGGTGTTTGAAAACATGTCTCGAGCGTTGCATGCGTTTTCCTTTTTTTTGTTATTTTTTTTTGTGTGTTTTTGAGAGAGGCTCGTCATTTTGAGGCAACCGGGTGGAGCGATGGGATTCATGTTTTTGAGATTGTCCAGCACAAGACATCACAAGTGGGAGACTCAGCATGAAAGAGTCACAATTATAGAGGGGAATGCTCAACGCTTAATCAATACGCTGATAGCAAGGCCTTGTGATGTTTTATAGGAGGTGACTTTTACCACCGCTGTTTTTTTCCTCAGGTGCCACCATTGAGCAGTTTGTCTTCTGCCTTCAAAATTCGTGGCCATGCTTGGGGTGAGACTCCAAGCAGCCAAGCAGCTTGGGAGGATTAGAACATATTAGAACATTAAATTATATTAGTATTAGAACATTCGAATTTGTTGGCAATGTTGGCACTTTTCTTCAAAAGCCACCAGACCAGAGTGCACATTGTTGAGCCTTTTGGGATGGGGCATTAGGTCAGCATTTTGAGGATCAACCATGAGGATCAGAATAGGATCATTGAGCTTTCAAAATGTCGAGCCCTTCGGGCAAGACTTGGTTCTCGCTGTTTTTTGCAGACTTCTCCACCGTGCTTTGCACTTGTTGCAGTTGTGGGAATGCCGATGATCCAGGTGAGGAGCCACCAACTGATCTTCCCGATGGAGGTAGCTCAATTGCACTAAGCCGCTAAGCCATCGCAGGGATCAGGTTTTGCGAACTTCTTTGTGTTATTTGGCAGAACGGCAGAAGGCGATAGTGGGCGTGGGCGGCAAACTGGCCAATTCAATCAATCAGCACTGGTAATTTTTATAAGTTTGATGAGGATGAGGGAGAGGAAGAGGTAAACGAACTGGCACGTGACAGCTTTAGTATTCTGCAGTGGGAGTGTGAAAGCAGCTATTGGACAAGTTATTTGGCTTAGGTTCTTCAAACCCTACTGGATCTGGAGGTGCGTAGTACAGCAAGTCAACTTGCCTTCACTCAATCTTTGCCACTGGAAACTCTGAGGTGACCCCAAAAATTCAGGCACTGGATACGCTGGATACGCTGAGTAACAATGAATAACAGATAGAAGCAGCATTTTCTCATTGCCGATCAAGTGAATCAAGTGAGTCTGATGCCAGGAAACATTCTCCAAACGACTGCTCACCCTTCCAGGTTTGGAATGGGACATGGCACTTGGGCACTGCATTTATTTGCTCTGAAACTCGCAGCGACTTCTCGCTCTGGATTCAGTCAGGTCCGACATGGATGCCAGCACTACAGGAGTTGCGGAGGCGACGGTTTAAAGTGATGCATCAATGAGAAGTAGGGATAATAAGGCCATAGGACGGCAGCCTTTCACACTACAAGTGTTTCTCTAGTTGAGGTGATTCCAATTGCCTTTCGCTTAAGGAAACATCACCCGTCCCAGCACCTGCTGGCAGCTGCCTCAGCTTAGAGGTCGCAGAATCCCATCACATTGTGAGAGCTGGGCACAAGACTAGAGATGAGGCTGCGAGTGCCGAACTGCTTGGCTGGGTGATGGTGCGCCTACTGTGATGTCATCGCACCTTTGACAAGCCTGGACCATGCTTCCATTTCTTGTTCAGGCTTTTGTGACGATATCTGCAACAACGAAGCTGCATGGCAACATTTCCGGACTGCATGTTGTTTCCCCATGTTTTTTCATTCCATGTTTTTTTCATTCCATGGAGTCTGAGTTTTTGTGTCATTTTATGTTCTGTATTCAAACAAAATCAGGTAGTTTCTGTCCGGCAGTGGCGATACTGATTCATTTCCCAAGTAGTGATTTGTTGTAAGATTGTCAATCCACATGTTTGGCCACTGCACATTGACATGTCTCCAATGACATGCGCTGATTCCATTTGTCTCAAGGTTTGCGGATGGGATAGAGGCGATTGTGGCAAGCTTCCAAGTACAGCATCTCGCGATTCTCCAGATAATTTGCAGATACGTTTATTTCTCTCGTCATGTCTCCATATTTTAGATGCATTCTATGACTCCCTCGAAACCGTGCTGGTTGGAGTGCTCGCATGCTTGTAGAAACCAAGCTTCCTCCACCAAGGACCTGTGCCAAGTCAAGCCCAGTTCTGGCCTGATTTAATCTCGTTTGACTCATTTGTATTAATTTCTGAGAACTGTGCAAGACCCTCTGGCCGACTCTGACCATTGTCATTGGCTTCGGTTTTTCATTGGCCAAGTCAAAAGAATGGAACATGGATCATTATCACTGCGCCAGGGCACAACGTATGACCACTTGCTGTAACGAGCCTTCGCACTTCGCCTGTCCTTCAGCACTTTCGCCTCTAGCCATTGGCTCCAGGAAAGTTCAACGGATCTTTATGGCCCATCCCTGTAGACCATGGATGACCATGGCGGTACCAGAGCCAACCTAGCATGATAGCATGAAAGTAAGCACTCGAACCAATGCGAGCGATGCCAATCAACAATTGTTGAAATAGTGAATAGTGTTAAGAAGAGAAATAGCGATGGGAGCAGTGGCTGACACCAACATACTGCTCCTCATGCAATCGACAAGATCAAAAGGCATTCGGACAGCACGCCTGCCGATATGCTTGAGGCAGATCTGTTGCATATGCATTGGAATCATTGGAGATTGGGCATCATGCCCCAAATGCTTTGAAATGCTTTGAAATGCTTTGAAGCACACTGGAATCGAAGACATCTTTCATGGATGCACAGTGTGCCACTCAGTGTTGACTTGGGTCCTGACGCGCAACAGTTAATGTGGCACTGAAGCCTATCAGCATATGTTCATGAAATACACTATAACAATATATAACATACACATATGCGGTATAAAGTATTCACACACTACACTACACACACACATACATACATACATACATACATACATACATACATACATACATACATACATACATACATACATACATACATACATACATACATACATACATACATACATACATACATACATACATACATACATACATACATACATACATACATACTACATACATACATACATACATACATACATACATACATACATACATACATACATACATACATACATACATACATACATACATACATACATACATACATACATACATACATACACACACAGACATACATACATACATACATACATATATATATATACATTTTTGTACATATTATGCACATATATATATATTCACATATACACACACATATATATATATATATGTGAATTTAAATATTAACATATTACATATGTATAGACACACACACACATATAGATAGATAGATAGATAGATAGAAAGATAGATAGAAAGATAGAAAGATAGAAAGATAGATAGATAGGTAGGTACATGTTTAACTATATGAATATATGAATATATAAATGCATATGTACAGAGATATGAATGGTCATGCCTGGAACTGAACGGCAGTGCTGAGGTCCCCTTTCTCTGGCGAAGTAGCAGAGGAGGAGGAGGAGGAGGAGGCTTTGAGCTGCACAAAGAGTATGGTCAGTGCAAGGCGAATCTTCAAACCAGCTGTCGCATCAGCTTGGCAGTTGATTCGTTCAATGACCAGGACAATGAAGATGACGACACCGAGGATGAAGGAGAGCATTTGTTGAAAGGATGTCGGCAAGGTAGCCAGGCTGAGCCCATCAGCATTCATTTTTTAGAGTTACCAGTGGCCCGAAGGATAGGGATTGGCGGGATGTTTGGCATTGAAATTCTTCTCACATCTTCTGTTGAAGAGAAGGGGGACGTGAAGTTCTTTCTGCAAGGAGTCCAAGAAAATTCAGTCCAAGAACCCTGGGAACGACGAGCAGAGGATGCAAAACCATGCCAAACTTAGTGTTTCCATACATTGCTTGCATAGGGCAAAGTGTGTGTTTGGTGGAAACAGGTTGAAATTTTGTGTCCTGCCAACGTTGAGGGATGCCAAGTCACTATATCTAGCACCAGCAGCTTAGACGTTCCACATTTGCTGACCTTTCGCTCTCTGGCCTTTGCCATTTGGATCAAGCTGCCACGGAAAAGGCAGCCGCTGCTCTTGTAGCGCTCGCACCTTGGACGGACACAGCTGACCTGGCCTGATTTGGGGCTGGCAAGTCTTGCCGACATAGGGCATGGCCATGGGCATGGCCATGAGGTTGCCAATATTACTGTACAAAACTATGTATATAAGGCTAAGTCCCGGTTAAGAACTATGTCTTACTTCTGAGCCTCTAAGATTCGATTTCTTAATACCTGTGCCAGGCCACACCTGAGCACTGCGAAAAGTATGTCCGTCCAAGAAGTTGCAGGAGCGCTCGAACTTGCGTGATGCCCCCAAGACATCGGCTTCAATGTGATGATTTTTTTTTTTTGCTTTTGTAGTTTTAATTTCTTACTACCTTTTGAGTTTCTTGTTATGAATCCAAGGTTTAACGGTCTTGGTGAGTACTATGGTCCCGACCTCGGAAGTGTTCCGGACAATTGATACCTCTTTTGCATTGTTGTCCGACCCAGGTGCTATTGCCAAAGACCCGAAAACATCAGAGAAAGAAAAAGATGCATGCTTGGCTTTTGTGGAAGCAGAAGGAAAACTGGACAAGGAGGACAGGTTCGTTTTCAAGCACCAGCCTGCAGCAGACGTCAATCTGAGCATATCTGAGCTGAAAAGGGAGATGCTGCATGGTTCATCGTTCCAGGATGTAGATGGGTGCCTGTCTCTGTCCAAGACTGCGGTTCAGAAGTTTGAGGCACCGTGACCATACGATGTTATCTGCAGTATGATGTCAAAAGCGCTGGAACCAATTGAGGCATTGTCATGCATTGTCAACTTTTGTTTTCCTATCAACGTTTGTCAACAGGCAATCAAGCATGCGACTGGCGTTGCAGATACGCTCAGTGCCTTGGATTGATTAGTCCAGTTGACCAGTTTGCCTTTAGTGAGCCTCGCATCCAGCTGTGGTTTAAGGAATGATGGTTTTAGCCTACCGGATCCAAGCTGACGTACTGCGAAGTGCAGAAGAGGACAAGTCCAAAGAAATCAAGGCAAGAGTTGGCGTCAGCATGAAGTGTGGCTATATATGCAACATTTCCCAGTTGCTTTAGAATGCTTTAGAGCCGAGAGGAACAGCTTTGCTGATTGTTCACCAGGCCGCTTTGAGCACGGCAGAGGGCCTTGCCCGAGAGCACATTGCCAAGTTCAACGGATCTGGGGACAAGCGCAGTGAGGCAGTTCTCCTCCTTGCAGCAGGGGAGATCAACTACAACAAACGAGGCCCAGTACAGGGTTCCTGGCACAGCTTTGAAGACCTTTACTGATGGTGATAGGGGCTGCATTTTTTTGTCTTGACTCGGTGCCAGGTGGAAAGAAAAGAGCAGAGGCATTTGAAGACTTGAAGAAAGCGCGGTCTCTAGCAAAAGAAGCTGGCGACAAGAAGGTGGGGCTGGAAGTTTCCCAAAGCATTCATTGACCTTGACATACCTTGACCTTCATAGTTTACCACCAACAGTATCCAACAGTGCGGAACTTGGTAGGAATGATCTTGAAAGGTCACCTTTCGAGAGTTGGACGTTTGTGCGTGGATGGCCAGGTAGAAGCTACTGCCATTTTCGTTCAAGCTAACGCAGCCATCAAGCTCCGGCAGAATGATGACTCCTATGCTTTTGCACAGGAGTCATACAAGCTGTACGAGGTCGGACTGGAAGAACTGCAAGACATGGCAAGACATGGCACAAGCCAGCACAAAACGCAAGGCAAGACCAAGAAAGTTCTCACAAGAAATTTTACCTTGTGACCAGGAAGCAGCTGACAAGAAGGGTCAGGGAAAGGCACTCCACATTATGGCCTTGGCCCAGGTCAACGGCTCAGCGTCTCTCAGAAATTGCATAGTTCCTACAGCTCAACAAACTTGTGGTGCTCCACCATGGCTAAGGTTTTGGCTGAAGATTTTGACGACGGAATCAAGACGGCAGAGCAAGCCCTAGCCATTTTCAAAGAGCTGGAGCTTCGAAAGCTGGAAGCCTTTGAACTTTTCATCATTGCGCACTATTACCTCACACGAAAGATGGGCCGTGAAGCCATTCCATATGCAGAGGACATCGCTTTCAGTTTGAAAGAAGGATTTGCCAGCCATATCATCTTCCATTTCATCATGTTTATGCGCCTGACACATCCTGACGCATGCCTGGCAGGATGCCTTAGAGCTCTTCAAGGAAGTGGACTTTGATGGCTCCGGTTGGACCTCCAACGCATTTGATTGCCTTACGCAAGCGTTCATTTGCAAGGCCAGTTCACAGAGCATCTTGATTTTGTTGGGGTCATAATGTACAAAGCATTGAACATGTTGAGCATGAGATGTTTCGGGAAGATGAACTCGTACAGGGTTTTGGAACCACGTAACTAGGAACTTTCGCCTTAGAACGTCTTCCAGCATTGTTTCTGATTGAAATGCTTCTCCCTGCCAGGGTGATGCAAAGAAAGCAATGATCATTTCCGAGGAAGCTGTGGAGTACTTTCAACGCAAAAAAGACAAGCGAGGACACTCAACTGTTGCACCAGCTGAGCACCTTTTGTTCAAAGGGGATAAAGGGGGATCCAGGGGGCTTGATGCCTGTCCATGGTTCAACAATGTTCAACGTCATTTGCTGTGCAACTTCTTGAGGTTTGAGTGTTGTCAGGACAAGTCATGGCTTTAAGCACTTTGGCAAACTCCTACTGTGCAAAGGGCTGCTTGGCAGCAAACTCCTAATGTATAGGATGTATTAGGATGTATTAGGATGTATTAGGATGTATGCTTGGAGATGCTTCGAGGTTTTTATTTTATTTATTGTCTTGGTTTTTCAAATCGGTTGCAGATGGTTCGCCTCAGGCGACTATGAAGCAGCGGTCCCCTTGATTGAGGAGACACGTGAGATCATTCAGAGCTTGGATGACAGTAGGCGGGGCACTGTTTGTGTCAGAAACAGAGCCAGTGCAGGATTTTGTTCTAAGAAACGGAAGAGGCAAAATTTGCCTGAGTTCTAAGAGTTGAGTTCGAAATTGCTGTTGCGCTGAATACATGTTTGATCCTTGCAGGTGGGAAGCCAGCATCCTGCACCAGCTGGCATCGGTTCACATGCTGCTTGACTTTAAATGATGCCGGTGCAGCAGCCGCCGCAGCCATTGATGAGTTGGGCATAGTTGGGCAATGTTGTTCAACTATCATGACATTCATGTGTTCTTGCAATGGACTTATGGTTCTGGAGGCTACATGGCGCATCATGTTTTGAGAAATAGATTTGACCACTTGAGGCTGCGTGAATCATACGCCGAAGCTGCTTTTGCAGCAGAGGAAGCCATCTCAATTTACCAGGAGGGGTGCGCAGCCGCGTCGAAACGGAATCTGAGAGCGTGTGCATTTTCTTTTTCACTCATCGCATTGCCAGGATCTCAAAGATAGGCATAGTGAGGCAGGGTGGTTGAAACTCATTTGGAACTGCAGAACTCAATAGAACTCATCATAACTATTCAATCATATTCAATCTATTGTCTATTCATATATGATTCATATATGATTCATATATGATTCATATATGATTCATAACGACTAACGACTATATGCGATTCTGTCTTCAACTTGCCGCCCCTCGAGGCCTTGGCTATGAACTACATCACCCAGGTTGCTATTGCCAAGAATGACTACGAAAAGGCAACACTTCTTGCATTGTATTGCATTCCGTTGCTTTCGTGTGATTCCCGTCCAATGATATCAACCGTCTCCGGCTTTTAGCCACATGCGGACACTTTGGGTGCTTTAGGCCATACAGACAGCTCAAGAGCAAGCCGCGATCTTCAATGAGACTGGCGATAAGAGCAAGGCCCATGGGCATGCGACACACAGGGTCTTTGAGTGGCATCTTTATGAACAATTTCATTTTGGCAATTTTCAAGCTTGAAAGCGAGTGAAAGTACGCCGTCCTTTGAGCTGCACCAGGAAGCCTCATGCCTCTTGACTGTTGCCACAGTCCACGGCACAGAGGGTAGGCTGGATGATGCCCTGCGAGTGGCCAAGGCACAGCTGCAAACACTTCGATTTATATACTATACAGAAAAGAGCTGAGCAGAGCACAGCTGTAGATGACAGGAAATTCATGAATATTTTTATATATGAAAATTCTTGAGTCTGCCGCCCCGCGTCAGGAAGCACAGGAGCTCTTCCAGGAAAAGAAGGACAGGTCAGGTGAGGCGAGAGCGCTGAATGTTCTGGCAGACATTTACTGCGACTTGCGGGAGGCTGGCGTGGCGACGTGCGTGGTTTGTCCAATTGATATCAGGTTTCCTTTTCATCTTTTTGCATCTTTTTGCGCTTATGCCAGACCGGCTAGACTTATGAGAATCTTACAGCCACAGACTGAGTCCGGACCAAGTTTTTTTTTCTTCATTTTTTTTGTTTTGTTTTTCATTTTTTTCCTGTTTCATATCATTCTCCGATTATGTGAATTTGTAAATTTTCATTTTTTTTCATTCTCCAATCATGTGTCATTCTCATTTGTTTATCGTGTTTCCCTCATGTGTGCAGCTAATATTAATTAATTATCATGTTCGTACTTGTTCTTTTTTTGCATTTTGCCATCATGTACTTGTCATTCAGCATCGAAAATGAATCGAAGCAAAATCAGAAACGGAAAAGATATGAACAGATATTATATAACTTATATATAGTATCATACCAAATGAGAGATTAAATGAAAACAAAGAAAGAAACGACAGCAAACATGAAAAAAGGAAAACACACATATACCTTAACCCACACAAAAAAATGAAAACAAAAACGAAAATGAAAACAAACACGCAAAAAAAATGAACATGATAAATGAAATGAAAAAGGACACGAAAAATAACATAAAATGAAACACTCAATGAAAAAACAACGAAAAAACCCAAAACAAAAATGAAAAAGGACACAATAAAAACAAAAAACGGAAAAACAACGAGAAAAAACAAAAAATAAGCAAAAAGGGTTCGAGAAAAAGCGCCTTTTGACAATTTCCAATGTCAATTTTGAAGGTAAAGGAGAAAAAATAGCCAAAACGAAAAAATAACGAAAAACAAATGAAAAGGGTTCGAGACAATTTCCAAGGTCAATTTTCAAGGCAAAGGAAGGAAACATAGCCAACACGATACAAAAACGAAAAAAAGAAGAAAAGGGTTCGAGAAAAAACTCCTTTGATAATTTCCAAGGACAATCTTCAAGGCAAAGGAAGGAAAGATAACCAAAACGATACAGAAACGAAACAATGAAAAGAAACGAAAAGGGTTCGAGAAAAAGCTCCTGGTGGCAATTTCCCAAGGACCAAGGACCACTTTCGAAGCAAAAGAAAGAAACATGAAAATGCCAAAGGGAGGAAAAACAGGAATGAAAAAACAATGAAAAAACTTATCCCCGTAAGATGTTTCAAGCCTGTTTTCCATATTTTTTCCACAGCAATCAGCATGGCATGGGTGAGGAACCGGTGAGGGACCGGTGAGGGTAGCGCTGACCTTGCCTCGGCTCGGGCAGGTGGAGCAGGCTGTGGCCTTGGCCAAGGAGATGCGCGACAAGCTGCACGAGACAGGCTCTGGTCGCAGTTTGGTCGCTTGATGTCGCTTGACAGGTCTTGACAGATCTTAACAGATTTAACACTGCAACCTGGTGCAACTTAGCATGCATAGCTAAGCTGAGTGTCAAACTGACTATCACGCTTGGTTTTGTCTGAAGGTGTTGGCTCTACCGAACCACATGTTTTTCATAGGCCTTAGCCTTGCAACATTTGCCAATGGTGTGCGCCCCAGTCAAGTCGAGCTCGGCTCCTTGAACTTGGTGCAAACCCGCGTGGCCAGATGCACCGACGTTGGACAAAACCCGCTGGACCGTGGAGTTGAAGTCCAATGTTGTCCAGGATTGAAGCAACAAAACCTCAATGGGGTGGTGTCCTGTCAAAAGATTGAAGTTCCTTGCAGCCAGGAAGGCGATGATCCTCACAGCAGTGAAATCTACTTAGGTTGCTGCCCAGGGCTTCAAGAATGCAAACTTCCACTGGGTCGCCAGGGACATTCCGGACATTCCTTTTGCTCACAGTCCTGCGTTGTTCCGCAGGAAGCTTCTTGCTTATGCGTTTTTGACATAGATCGCACACTTACGGCAAAGCAGGGGTCAGCAGCTGAGTGTCCTGGCACGAAAGAGCTGGAGATTGTTGACGCGGCGTATGGTGTTGGCAAAGCAACTCTCTCAGCTCTGGCTGTTGCAGGCATTGACAAAACATTTTGCAAAGATTGCTATTTGGGTATTTGCTCTGCTGGTTATGGCAGTGGTGTTACTTCTGAATGGAACCAATATATTCTCAACACTATCATGAAGACTAAGCTGCAGGACCATCTCACTGAAGAATTTCCCTTTATCAAGGACTGGTCTTTGGGGCCCGTTGACCAAGTGCATCCATTGCTGAAGTCCCCTTACGTGTTAAACCAGCCACAAGAACTGAAGCCTTTGGCGGTGGAAGGTATTCGCCGGTGGTATGAGATGATGTTTAACTTTACCATCCCAAAGGCTGCTGTACACTTCTTTGATGACCGGGCTGAAAATGTCGAGCTGTTCAGTGACCTTGGCATTCCTGCAAGAGAAGTATCCTGTGCTTCACGCGCCGGTGGTGGTATCGGCTTGTGTGGGGCGTTGCCGGATGAAATCCTGAGCTTTGGTCCTTCTCTGTGTGATGGAAAAGCCTCCGCAAACTCGTCCAGCCGCTAGATGATCTAGGTGGCTAGATGGCTAGATGGATTGAAATGACTTGCAGCAGGTCCAAAAGGCCAAAGAGCGCGTTTCGGTTTGTCAAAGATTTGACAAGCTCTAAACATGAATGTTCCACGTAACGTTCACTTTGATTCACTTTGCATAATTTTCATCATTTTGCACCCTTTTTGCTCGATCCCTGTGCTTGTCTGTGACAGCTTGCATCAGTTTCTGCCGTGTTCAGGCGATATGCGGGCCGAGGCCGCAGCTCCAATCCATGTCAACCGCTGAATTGAAGCGAAGTGGATTCCTTCAGTAGATTGATATTTACATTATTTACCTGCAGTCTGAATAGTCTCAATCTACCCTTGAATCAACCGCAGCGTGGAACCGTGGAGCGCAACATTTTCCCTTCTAGTTTCGTTCGTGGGTTTGAAACCGTGCTTGCAGGTTGGTGCCATCCGGACGCTCTCGAACATTTATCTGGCTTCTGAGATGCCTGGTGAATCTGTGAGAGCCGCCAACGAAGCAGTCCAGCTAAGCAAACGAGTCCACGCAACTTGGCTTGCAACTTTGATTTTGCAGCTGAAATCAGCTGAACATAGCTGAAGAGTGGGTATGTTTGAATATGTTTGAATGGTTTTAAGTCTTAAGGAGAGTGAAGGGTGTTGTCCTCATCGAAACTGGGATGGACTTGCCATGGATGTTTGATATTGTTTGGGGCCAAGGACCGAAGGCAGCTGGCTGAGAATCTGATCTTGTCTTCAGAGGCAAACATTGCCCTCGCCATGCAGGAGCTTGTACAATCTTGCAGCATCTCGAAACATGTCCAGTGGAATTTGCCCAAATCTGTGGGATGTGGATGGATATTGCCAATATGGCCATGACTGTGCAGATGTAATGCAAATGTCATGCAGATGTCGAAGCTTCAGACTGGAGCTTTGAAGGACAACCCCAAGGGCTTGGCCAAGGGCTCCGAGAGATCCCTGAAGCCTGCGAAGGAAGCCTTCAAGGCTGTGGAGCTGAGGGTGTCGACAGTCAGCAAACCCCAATTTGAAGCACGCCGTGAGGCGTTCATTGCAACTCCATTCAATATCTTTGAATCTTTTTGAATAGATTTCAATAGATTCAATATATTTTTGAATAGAATTCAATATATTTCAATTTTGAGACACTGGCGTAGATGGCGCACTGTAGCTGAGTCATGTGGTGAGCGGCGTGACTTCCAGATCGGGTGCACTGGGCGCCAGGTGGCCAAATCCATCGGTGCAGGAAAGCTAATGGGAATGGCAATGCATCAAACGGCTTACGTGTTGCTCGTCACGGCACTACTGGCTTGTTTATGCTGGAGAAGCCCCTCTTGAAGTCCAATATGCAACAGCATCGCGACAGCCTCGTCATCTCTTTTGTTTCTAAGGTCATCTAAGGCGTTTGCGTCTTCTTTCTTATGTTTGCGCTGTTGCATTCAGTCTCAGGGCTCCATGCTGCACCAGGTGAAGCCTGATGATGCTCTGAAGGCTGCCCGCGAAGCGGTGGTGCCCTGGCTGATGGAATTGATTGAAGACGGATATAGACGGATTCAAGATGATTCAAGGAGTTTCTAAGCTAAGGAAGTTTCTAAGGAATTTTCTTCAAGCTTCTTCTCCTGGCTTTCCATTTGCATCATTTTCATTCATTTTCCATTTTCCCTTACATACAGGGGTTGCATTATCGTGGGCACCTTGAGCCTCTCCTTCAAGGACATCTTCCGCCAAGTGGACGAGCGAGCCAGAGAAGCTGGCTCCGTCATCCTGATAGCTGAGATCTACCACAGCAAAAATGAAGATGAAAAGGCTGGGATAGCTGGATGTTTTTGAGCGCAATTTCCGTCGGAACAGTTCGACAACAGCTCGTTGGCTCCTCCTCTTCTTAGGCTAGTTCACTGACCAAGTGCCCAGTACCTTTTTAATTTGGCGTTGGACAGTCTCCGTCTTTCAGAAAGTAACATAGCAATCGTTGAATCGACAACGAACCAGGCGTTGGATGCTGCGAACGAAGGGCCGCTCTGCAAAAAATGGTTCCGTTTGTATGATCATTCTATATATATATTCTATATATATATATATTGCGCATAATAGTATGTATCATATATCTTATGTATCATATATCACTTATATCATGCTTTTTTAGCATGTTCCTGTTGAATGATGGATAACGACTCAGTGCCACAGTCAGCACTGATCGTTCGGTATTGGGCCGGCCAAGGCTGATGCTGGCAAAGGCCTGCGGAGACCCCAAGAAAGAGAAGGATGCCAACAAGCTGGTTGAACAGATCGCAGGGAAGCCACTTGTTGGCACTGCTGTTAACTTGTGACGGACCAGACTTTGAGTTTGTGATTGAGAAGACAATTATCTGATCAGAATCATATCACGTAGTGGTCTAAAGACACCCAACCACACTTAGAACTTAGAACATTGTATGTACTGTACTGATTGCGCTATCGATACCACTTGTGGGGCACATGGCTGTGATGTTGCTAGTTTTAGACTTAGAAGCCCGCAAGTGTTTCAAGAGCAAGTCTTCATTGATGGGCATTTGAGGAAGTTCGCCTACTACCAGCCTTACCCTGGTGATATGCCTGCAATGCCACAGCAAGCAGAGGACTGCTGAGATGGTGGCGTCATGTAAGTGGGAAGTGCGAAAGCGATAAACTCCGATAAACTATGATAAACTTGTCGTCATGCAGGCAAGTCGCCCATTGTGCGACATGTCCGGAGTCCATTTGGAGTCCAGTAAATTAATTTAAATTACAGTACAGTAAATCTAATGCCAGCAGCATGTTGTCCACAGGGCGGAGGTGGTGGTGGAGCTGCTGCTGCATCATCTGTAGCAGAAGTAAAGCAGGTCGCTGGCGGTGGGAACTCAGTGGGAACCGGTCTAGTTGCAATGCACAAGTGTGACAAATTGTGACAAATTGTGACAATTGGTTGCCTAAATACCGTTCCCTCTTCTTGGTTCGAGTGAGGGTTCTCTTCAGGACGTCTTGACACCTTTTCTATGCCCACATTTGATTGTCCATTGATGCATGCATTTCTACAGCTGGGCATCATAGTCAGGTATGATCCGGTCACGTTTTTTTGGCCACAGACACAAAGACCACGGTAGCGTATCTGACTTTGCCATCTTTGACTTCGCTGTGTGGCAGGTGGGCTTGGACCCCGGCATGGTCCAGGCTGGAACTTCGATGCGGTGCGGTGTGCACAGGAAATGACGGACTTCAGCAAGTTTGGTGAATGCACGATTTCTATGGACTGCAAATAGATGGTTTCCTTCCTCTTCTCAAGTCACTCAAGTCCCTGTACTTTCCAAAGGTTAAGGGTCCTGCAGTATGATTCCCCAAGCTTAGCTTCTTAGCACTGGCTTCCGCAGGCCACCGTGTCAGAGATGGCGAAACAGGCCATTGGTGTAGATGATGAGCTTTTCCTGGACAGCGCTCTGATGGACAGTGGAATGGCAGCTTCGCATGGTTAGAATGAATACTGGAGCAAAGGACGTCAACGATGACAGTCGTAAGTTACAGGTAAGGTCGGACCAGTCAAAGGAAAAGCGAGTGAGGGGGCACGCACTCTGAGGACAGTCTGACAGCTGTGTCTTTCCGAAATGGCCTTCAGCAGCAGCTGGGCGTAAAGTAGCTCGGCAAGCATCTAGCAGACCTAGCACCCTCAACCAAGTTTCGCAAGGCGTTTGCTTGGGCTGGGCTTTCTGCATCCTTGTTTTCCGGAAAGCGCCCAGGAAGAACTTTGCAAAAACAGTGCAAAATTGATCAACATAGATCAAAATATTGTTTCTTCATCAAACAGTCACTGCAAAAGTCAGGTGGCACGCCAGTGCAGTAAAAGGAGTCGATCTTGTGGCCATTGCCGCTGCCCACCATGGCCTAGGCTTCCATCGTCCTTGATGTTCGATTACCCCACCATGAAGGAGGTGGCCAATCGCATCATGGAGCTGAGCATCGAGAACGCGTGAGACGAGAGTTGTAGGGAGCTGCGCTGACACGCTTCCCCGACTCAGAGGTGTTGAGCATCACTAAGCCACACAGCCCAAATACCATAGTCTCCCATATCAAAACGGGTTAAGCCGGTTGAGCCTTTCATTTTCAAGATCTTCTTCTAGGCCCGTGCATTTTGTCGTCGACCAGTGCCTGCGCTAGTATTGTTGCCGGGAGATTCTTCCCCTGTCATAGGCAGGCGACCGCGAAGATTGCAATCAGAAAAAGCATAGAATGTTCGATGATTGTCTCCAATCATTGCAAAGAGGCTTACAGCACTGTATCAACGACCAATGACATATACTATACACATACTAATCATAGACTGAACTCTTGGAGAAGGCGATGGAGAGTGAGAGATACTATTTGCGGTATATCAGTATATCAGTATATAGGACAATCACACTCTGGTCTGTTGCAACCCATCTTCAATTCTTGGCAAGGCTACTTTCTGCTCTGTTGTTTTCCCTGACGAGTACTGTATCTTTCACCTGCACACGTTGTAGTCCGCACAAAGGCCATTTCCATTTTCTGGTGGCTAGGGTTAGGCTTCCAAGTGCAGCCACTGAGCCAAAGAAGCTACATGTGCCACTGAAGCACCATGTGTGGACAGCTCAAAGATGCTCAAAGAGAGATTTCTGCTCTCAGGAGCGTGCTGCCGCAGAAGAGCTGTTGCGTGCCTCGTGGCTGTGCTGAATTCGGTGATGTGACTCTGAAATACTCTGAATAGGACAGTGCCAGGCCCTTGTGAAAGCAACATGAAGCAACTCTGGCAGCTGGCAGTGTCGAACCAAGATGAACCAAGGCAAATGCGGATCGAATGTGTCAAAGTATGCGCTCCAGCTCAGCTCCAAGAGCTGGTTGAGGGTGGACACAGCGTGTTTGCCTCAGAACCACAATGCGATGATCTTATAAGTATATAAATAGATATACAATGAAGTACGTAATTACATGATAATGATTAATAAATTCTGTAAATAGACACAATTAAGCATAATTAAGCAAGAACATAATCAATGACAAATAAATCAAATAAATAAATAACATTAAATAACATCATTATAACATGTATATAACTAGTTGACTAATTAGTCAGTTAATAATTTAAATGGATAAATAACTAGATTCTAGATAAATAAATCCATCCAGAAATATAGAGAGATGAGAGATGTGACATTTCACAATGGCTTCCACACTGCTGCGTCATTTGTTGGTGCTTTTCAACTTGTTCCTTGGCTTTTTACTTCGCATCAAAACAGCTTGTTGGCGCTTCTCCCGACATAGCTTGATCGCAAAGGCTCTAGCACGAGTGCGCGGAGTCCGTATCCAAGTTTTGGCACTCCAACTCGAACATTGCTTCATCAAATGCGAACTGCTTGAAGAGCTGGAAGATTCAGAACCGAAAGGGATGAAGTGAGATGAACTTGTTTGTAGAATGCAGGGAGGCGCACTGCGCTGGAGGAATATGTCTGCTGCCTTTCTATCAAACCGAAGAGGGGATGGAAAGGAATTATATAATCACTCACCCATCGGAAAAGGTTTGCAAAAAATGATTCGTGCAACAAGCAATATCGGCGTGACAACCTACAAAAGCGTCCGCGCATACAATCCCATGCGTCCATGCCCTAAAACATCCTAAAACCTATATGCATGACCCAAGTCTAGAAAACAGCCATGCATGAAAAACTCAGAAACATCAACAACATATCCATGCATATGCATCCAATAATATCCGGGAAGCACTGTAGTGGAAATGCCAACAATACAGCTGCTACAGCCAGAAACCATCAGAAATCTGGTCATGCGTTCCGTAACAGCTGAGCAGCGAACATGTTGGCCACCTAGTGGCTGCTCATGGCGACACGTGCGAAGTCGGGCATTTCGGAGAGTGCGGTGAGGAAGGCAGTCTAACTGACTCTGTGATTGTCTTGTGGCATCAAAATATTTCTCGAATTTTGCAAAAAATTAGATGTGAATTTGATTTCTGTATGTATATATATATATTCAGAGAACTTCTTGATATAGGGCTGCAGCTTGGATTTCATCCTGGCTGGACAGGTGCCTTCAGCAAAGACTGCAGCAAAAGAGCCTGTCAAGGGCATAACCAAAGATCCCTCTCCACCAGCTCACCCAGCTCCACCAGAAGCTCGTCTAAGACCGTCCAAGCTCGTGCTTGCTAGACCACGGAATTTCTCACCGTTTCCGGTTGAGTTGTCTACAAATGCTAGCAAATGCGAGTCCATGCAAAGAGTTGCTAGGGAAACATGGAGGGCTCCGACCTGCGAAATGCTTATGATATTTCTGAAGATTGTGGGTTCAATCCAGACTACAAGGTGCGTCGAAAAGCCAGCGTGGCTGGCAGTCTTTTGGAGCGGAGTTTGCGCCTTGACTGCAATTGGAAAGCAGCCCGGGCGGAGCAGATAAGCTTTCTGGGATGCAGCGTAAGACTGCCTGAAGAACTGCTGGAAGGGCATGTTATTGCACTTTAATGTGTTGCTTAGTCTCTGTTCAATCAGATATGCCTCCGTCCTTTGTCCACTGAGCCTTGGCCTGTATGCATGCCCTGAATCTCAAGCTGTTTGTTGATGAAGTTTTTGTTTGCACAATCTAGACCAGAAGTCCCAGAGGCAGAATATGCGAGCTGTGGTCTTTGAGTCCTACAGTAAATGTTGCCTTGAACAGACTTGTTTCATGTTATGTTCATAGCACGGAGCTCTAAGAAACAAGGTCGTTTGCAGACTGCAACGTCCATCAAATTGGAGCGGCAGTTCTGGCCGAAGATCCATCTACCAAGACACTTGCATGGAAGTAGCCGAATGTGTCACAATGTGTGCAAGACGGTCGGATGATGGCAGCTCTTCTCACACTGCGCTGCCAAACAATGAGGTTTGATGCTCCATTTTGGTGCACTCTGCTAACTGGAAGCCCAGCAGACGAATTCCGGTCATTTCAGCCCCTTGGCGCTTTGGCAACTTGCATTGACTTGGCAACCTGTAGCTGCAGGGTTTGATATTTGGTTGCTTCACTCCTGAGCAGGAACCGGACTTTGGCTTTCTGGATTCAGGTCTATAATCGCTGGCAGGCCAGCTGCTTGTACTTGAAGCTTTCAATTCAGTATGATTACAGTATATAATGATAATTGGGCAGCTAGTTCAACGGGCCCGTATGATCCCGTATGCATGTGACCAAAATTGCAAAGCCGCCCCTGAAGGACTTTGGAAATTGGATGCCGGGCAAAGTGCCAGAATTCCTGGATGGAGAAGATCTCCACAAGTTGCTGAAACTGCCGACCAACAAAGTGGTGGACATCATCAAGCTGTCACTTGCTGCACGCCGGTCTAAAAATGGCTGGAAACATCGGACATCATTAGTCAGATTCCAGAGATGGCCCGATCAAGTCGAGCGTTGAAATCTTCTGAGAACCTGGGTTGTACCTTTTTCCCCTGCTGTTAGTAGAAAGCTGTTTGTGTTGTACTGGTTCAGCGTTTTCCAGACCAGTGCCGCGAAGTGATGAAGTGATGAGGTTCGACCCAGCTGGCCACAAGCGGTTGTCAACAGGAACAGATGGCATGAGGAAATGCAAAGTGAGGATCTGCGAACTGATGACAGCAGGTGTAGTGCTCTCCAGGCTGATTGCCACCAGGCAGAAGCTCAAATTTGTCCTAGGCCGGGTGATTGCCGCATTTCCAAAGTACGCGAAAGTTTTCCTTCTTGCTTCCAATGTCAGGTTTGGAATTTGGAATGTTGGAATCCGAGATGTGAACTTGAGCTTGCTGAGCTTGAGCTTTTATTTCAGGCCTCTTTGATGTTGATGACAACCGAACTTTGGACGAGACAGAGTTTGCCGCATTTGTGACAGCCTTTATCTATGGCCTCGGGGCCGCTTTTGGCCTGCGTCACAAAGATGACATTATGCCATCGATGAAGAGCATCCAGCCACTTGGTTCAGGCTTAAGATTCATTGACATCTATATATCCAGTGCATTCCAGTGCTTATTCAAGTGCTCCGTCTTTTGTGAGTTCCCAACACAATCAATGCATCGTGCACGCACTGCCTCATGCCACATCCCGCAGTGTTAGACTTATTGCAATTTGACATAATTTGGCGACTCTTGATTTCTCTTCCACAGCTTGCTTACGGATCCTTACAATGAAGATACAGAGGTTGCCAAACTGTTTTGTCAAAGCAAGGACGGTGGTACAGCGACTTTACAATCGATTGGGTGAAATTGCGGCCAGTCGATTGAAGGAGCTGTGCAGAGCAAGCACTCTTGACCGTACGGCCCTTGCAGAAGCAATTAGAATCCAGGCTGCAGGCACGGGACGCAGGAAAGATCGCAGCGATTGCGCAAGATTGAGAGATTGTACTGGCATGTACTCCTAGTTGTGGAAGTCAAAGCGTTTCAATGAAATGTGCGTCCTAGGTGGGGGAGAAATTTCTGGAAGTCGGTGTGATGTTGCGTCCAGTTGGTGTTTATCATGTTTGTGTTTTCTCCAATTGATGGTTTATCGTGAGTTTTTCATGGATACCATGCAGATGGTTGTAGCTATTCCCTTGTGTTTTGGGAGTTTTGTAATGCCTACCCCGGATTAATAAACCCCCCCCCCTATAGGTCAACTAGGTCAACAAGGTCCAGTGAGGAGGTCCAAAAACCGAACCCCCCAAATAATGTGACCATTCATTCATCCATAAACGATTATTATAAGATTCCTATGGGAAAAGATTGGAAAACCTATGGTAAACAATCAAATTCCTATGGGGAAACATTAGAAAATTAATGATAAACCATCAGATTCCTATGAGAAAAGGTAAGAAAACCTATGATAAACCATCAGATTCCTATGAGAAAAGATGAGAAAACCTATGATAAACCATCAGATTCCTATGAGAAAAGATGAGAAAACCTATGATAAACCATCAGATTCCTATGAGAAAAGATGAGAAAACCTATGATAAACCATCAGATTCCTATGAGAAAAGATGAGAAAATTAATGATAAACCATCAGATTCCTATGAGAAAAGATGAGAAAACCTATGATAAACCATCAGATTCCTATGAGAAAAGATGAGAAAACCTATGATAAACCATCAGATTCCTATGAGAAAAGATGAGAAAACGTATGATAAACCATCAGATTCCTATGAGAAAAGATGAGAAAACCTATGGTAAACCATCAGATTCCTATGAGAAAAGATGAGAAAACCTATCGTAAACCATGGGATTCCCATGAGAAAAGATGAGGAAACATATGTAATACCATCAGATTCCTATGAGAAAAGATAAGAGAACCTATGGTAAAGCATCAAATTCCTATGGAAAGATTAGAAAATTAGTGGTAAACCATCAAATTCCTATGAGAAAAGATGAGAAAACCTATGGTAAACCATCAGATTCCTATAAGAAAAGATGAGAAAACCTATCGTAAACCATGGGATTCCCATGAGAAAAGATGAGGAAACATATGTAATACCATCAGATTCCTATGAGAAAAGATAAGAGAACCTATGGTAAAGCATCAAATTCCTATGGAAAGATTTGAAAATTAGTGGTAAACCATCAAATTCCTATAAGAAAAGATGAGAAAACCTATGGTAAACCATCAGATTCCTATGAGAAAAGATGAGAAAACCTATGGTAAACCATGGGATTCCCATGAGAGAAGATGAGGAAACATATGTAATACCATCAGATTCCTATGGGAAAAGGTTAGACAACTAGTGGAAAACTATCAGTTTCCTATGGAGAAAAAAGAAAACCCTTGGTAAACCATAAGGTTCCTATGGAGAAAGAATAGAAATTAAATGGTAAACCATCAGAATCCCATGAGGGAATGACAGAGAGTCAGTCACCTCTTCCCAACATGATGAGCCAACCCACAAAAAACCTCTGAAACCAATGTGTTTGGCAATAGCGCGGCTTCGACCTAATGAAAGCACAGCTCTTGCAATGAAAGAGAGTCACCTCTTCCCAACATGATGAGCCAACCCACAAAAAAACCTCTGAAACCAGTGTGTTTGGCAATAGTGCGGCTTCGACCTACTGAAAGCACAGCTCTTGCAATGAAAGAGGGCCACCTCTTCCCAACATGATGAGCCAACCCACAAAAAAACCTCTGAAACCAGTGTGTTTGGCAATAGCGTGGCTTCGACCTAATGAAAGCACAGTTCTTGCAATGAAAGAGAGTCACCTCTTCCCAACATGATGAGCCAACCCACAAAAAACCTCTGAAACCAGTGTGTTTGGCATTAGCGCGGCTTCGACCTAATGAAAGCACAGCTCTTGCAATGAAAGAGAGTCACCTCTTCCCAACATGATGAGCCAACCCACAAAAAACTTCTGAAACCAGTGTGCTGGCAATAGTGCGGCTTCGACGTACGGAAAGCACAACTCTGGCAATGAAAGAAAGCCACCGTGAAGTAATTAGAGGCAATGTCCAGAAGCAGGCAAAGGTAGCTAACATAACAGCAAGACATTGGCAGAGAAAGACGCACAACACACAAGCATTCAAGCCAGCTGTGTGCCTCCCCCGGGCTGCAAGACGCACCCTCCGGGAATCTAAGCCGCTGTGTGCCACCCCCGGGCTGCAAGACGCACCCTCCGGGAATCTAAGCCGCTGTGTGCCACCCCCCGG